CTTGTCACTTCACTAAGCTGCATTATCTGCGTAGGCACGTGCAGGCAATGTAATTTGATCTCCAAAGACTTTTGATGTGGAAATATTAAAGCACCTATTTAGATTCTTGTTACCATGCCTGCGAGAAGAGGTTCAAAGCGATCCTACTTTGGGTGCCCTTCTACTTGGAAGATTTCCCCAAAAATGAATCTATCATGCGAGAATAGCGGGAATAGTATGCTGTTTGCTCTTCAACATGAAGAATTAAGAAATAAATGTATATGCGAAAAACATTTTTATCATGGGGCTTTATCAAATAGCACCCTCCACAGAACCAGGTTGAATCCAAATGTAATTCCTGTGGCGCACAATAGAGAAGATCTTGTTGTTAACTTTCCCGCCCAATCGTACAAACTATAGCTGCTTCTTCGAGCATAAACAAACGCCATACACCAGAACCTCTCCAAACATCGTGTTCATCAACGTCCTCGTCGGTACAGCGCAATTTGGATATCATATATGTATATATACGTATTCTAAATCTTATCGGCGTGGTAAAGAGTGTAAAGTTAATTATGGCAGAGATATACATAGTTTTTAAGTATACCTTTGCGGTTAGGAATCTGTCAAGACTTTTAAAGCCGCAAATAGTTTCCGCCAACTTCAAAAAACCTTCACGATTCTTTAAGAACCTGCCCTATGTTACCTCCTATCATATCATATCACTGTAATAATACGAATATTAAGGAATTCGAATTGTGCAAACTTTAGCGCTTTAATTTTGTTTCAACGACATCTAACGCATAAATCCATAAGCGTCATATTACAGTTTTAAACGTTACATGTTTATACTGCTCCGCAATAGAGGGCGCTTTTAAGTATACCTAAATTTGTTTCCCAAAAAATGCATAAGGTTAGCAATCTGTGTATGTGTAGATCTGTGCAATTGGTAATGGTATGAATATTGATGAGGAAGAAATAATACGAGACTATGTTAACTACAACAATAACCTAGAAGACGACTGTGAACTGTGATGATGGAGTCACATATGGAAAGCAGCTAGTTGTTGCAACCCCATAGCTTGGTGGAAGGAAAGCAATAAGGGAGGAAAACAGGGAAAATAAAAAAAAAAGCTGGAAGAAAGTAAAACTAGAAAGAAAAAGACTAAAAAACAAGAATCAGATGAGTCAAATCAATAAGATCAAATTCCTGAATAGGTACGCCAAATTAGATGATTCCATTTGGAAAGTAGAAATCAAGGATGTAGCTGAAGAAAAAGAAAACATAAAGCCGATTGCTATAATTAGTCAGCTAAAAAGTGGATATTACGTTTTGGTTTCTTTTATGGGAGGAAAACGAAATGCGCAGAGATCTATGTATGCATCATTCAAGAGATCATTAATCAGGATAATATTGGCGTTATGGCTTTAAATTGCATGGGCAATAATACAACTACATTAATTGTTGCTAATGAAAAGGATATTTCTCGTATATCTTTGAAACAAATCTCAAATTACTGGAATTTTGGATAATCCAAAGATAGTTACAATGGGAGAAAGATTAAGATATTTTAAGTTACCTATTACCAGTCTACAGGAAAAGAAAAAACTTTTTTAGTAAAATCTAATTACTTAGGACTTAAGTTTACTGTGTTTTTGATTATGTTAATTAGGCTTGCCAGACTGCCTCATTCAAATGCAATTAATGAACGAATGTTCAGTTTGATGTTTCAAGCTTGGGGAAAAGATAGAAGCCAATTATCTTTGAAAACCATTGAAGCCGATATCATGGTGAAACATAATTATGGAAAAACTTGCAAAGGATTCTATAACTATGTCTTAGAAAATGAAAAATTACTAAACACTATCACATCCGATGAAAAATACGTAGAATAATGTTTTAATAGATATAAGTATATATATGTATTATAATATACAGGGTGATTCCTATAGTACCTGCCACCGTTTGGGAGCGTATAGGGGGTGCCTAGGGGAGTATTTTGATATAGGACACTTGGGGTCGGAAATCTAAAATAAGGGCGCCAGAACCAAATTTATCTTCTGGAATTTCACGCCTGTATGTAGGCAACCCAACCGACCGACGTTTCGCGCGGAGCGATGCAGAGCGAGTTAGCGCGAGGAAGCGACATGGGAGGGAAGGAGGGAAAACGACAGTCAAAAGCAATAACGTTTACAAGTGTTCAACGTGGCCACCGTTGTTCTCAATGCACTTCCTACATCTAGCCAACTATTATTATACTATTGCCATAGTGTTTATTCACTTGATACGCGTCGTTGCAGACGGGATTTCGTGGGTTTAAACAAAATTCTGATCAAGTGTCAGCCACACATCGCCGCCTGAGATCGCTCCGTGTGCACCGCCGGCCGGTTGGGTTGCCTACCTACAGGCGCGAAATTCCAGAAGGTAAATTTGGCTCTGGCACCCTTATTTTAGATTTCCGACCCCAAGTGTCCTATATCAAAATACTCCCCTACGCACCACCTACACGCTCCCAAACGGTGGCAGGTACTATAGGAATCACCCTGTATGTATAACAGATGTTTTTGCACTTCAGAGACGAGCTGTAAGGATACTTGACTCTGTACCCTATAGAGACGAATGCAGGAAATCATTCCGTTCGCTTAAAATATTAACGCTGCCATCCATATACGTGTTGGAATGTATTTTTTATTATACCTGAATCACAATCTCTGTTTTAAACACTCAAATGCGTGCGAAAAAGGGCCTTTAAAACACACGTGCTTTAAAGTTGCTAAGTAACGATACTTCAAGTGTGACTTTTGAAACTGTCATCTGGATGCAATAAAAATAGTATATTAAGTATGGAGAACGGTAAGGGATTTTTACCGTTCGAAGACAATTGTTTGGAGGAGGAGCGAAGCGACGACTCCAATTATTGTCTGAGAACGGTAACCCTTAACGTTCGACGTGCTTATAACATTTTTTGCGCGATCGAAATTAAATTTATGCAACCAATATAAATATGCACTAAGAAATTAACGAGCAGAATAAATCGAAATGATCGAAGTGGTATGGTGTATATCACTAGGTAACCAGTTTATTTGTCAAAATTGAAGTTAATAATTTCATAAAAATGTGCATGTGTCTGATGTAGTTTACTAGCTTTGAACTTCCTTTATGACTTTATGAGCGTCTTGCTATAGGAAACAACAGCACAAATTGTACGTTTAATGTACCTAACAATAATTAAAGATTAAATGTAATGTAAGACTGTTGATTTTTAAAAAGGCGTCGGTAAGTATTTTTGCTGTTCTGTTTTTAGATCGGTAAGTAATTTTGACGTCGTCGTAATCATAGCAACTGGTAAATTCTACCTACTGTCATGGAAACACCCATGGTAATTTAGTCAGAAATGACCGATCGCGCAAAAAATCCTTTTAGGTCGCTTTCTGTAAATGCAGAACATTTGTTTGGCTTTTGTAGCTATCCTTTGGTTGAAGCTTTCACAAACGCGCGTAATTTAGGGTATGCTTCCAAATCTGTTCCACTTTTTAATCGCAGCATTGCTTTAAAGTTTTGAATGAATGCACCAAAATATAGAAGATTTAAATACCTTTGACATTTCCTTCATATATGCCAGCATTATGGATGCATTTAAGACTGTATTCGTAAGTAACTTCCTATTCGTCCATGGAAACAACTTTTCATATTCTTTAAAAAAGGCTTTACTGGAGTTGGATTTTACACCTACCAACGTTTGTTTAGATTTTACAACAATCGATTTAATGGGCGGTGTATTATCTTTTTCAACGGAAATCGTTTAATTCACAAAGACGATGATTTTTATAAGCAAACGTCAAGTGACATTTCCATGGCAATCGTGAAATTACGAACACCCAGCCCACTTAATTAGACATGTATTCGAGTATAACGTCAATATGATTTCATTGTATTTCCTATTTTTAAATTATACTGCAGGTATAATAAAAATACTATAAGATACACGTGTATAATTGGTCTTTAAAGCACTTGCAACGTTAAAGGCACTCCGCTTTGCGTCGTGCCCTTAAACTCGTTGCGCGTGCTTTAAAGACTTGATTATACACTTGTATCTTAATATACTATTATTTGCTAAAATGAACCATGCCAAATACAAAATTCAATCTGAACTGCATAGTTACAATACTAGGAATAAGAACAACATTAGAGTGGATTACTGTAGATTAGCAAACATTCAAAATAACCATGACTACCTATCTCAAAAAATATTTAATTTACTGCCTGTAAATGTTCGAATGTATAACAAAAAACAATTAAAAACAATAATTAAGAAATACCTATTTGATAAGGCATATTTTTCAGTGCATGAATGTTTAACTGAAGGCTTTACCAATATTTTACACACAGGTGGTGGCATAAACTGAAGTTGTGTTGTTTGTCTATATTATGTGTGATATAGTGTGTTATATATTTTAATTTTTAAGAAACTAGTTGACAAATGTAAGTGCTATTGCGTGTAAACAGGAATAAAGATTATTATTATTATTATTATTATTATTATGTATATAACTATTTTTCGCTTTTATCCAATGTATTATACAGCTTATTAAAATAAAATTTGTCTTCTCCTGTCGTGGTAATATCGTGTGATTATTAGATACCTGGTACAGTACCTTTTGCGTTATGTAGCAGTAGAGCATGGAATATATGTGGTGCCTGTATATTTCATGCACTGCCATCTATACAACGTACAAATGTTTTCTAAATTAATATCTGGTAAGCCTATGTTAAATGCTCTTTTACTGAACCACAACTGTATTGTTATAATTTTTTTTATTATTAACTTTAAATAAATAAATAAGAAGTTTGTTCCAATATATTCATTATTAACCTTCAAGCACACGCTCCGCACCATTTATTTTATAGGTTTATCTACTTAATGCGAAGGGAGTGGGGTTGCCCCAGCCCAATAGCTGTTCGTTATAAGACCTCGAAGCTTAGTACTAACTTAGTTGTGGAGTGGTGTACTTGTGTACTTTTTTATTGTTATTTGCGGACTGTGAGTCCGCAGCGTGTGCTGCAGTTATAATCTTAGAGTATAAGAAATGAATAGAGCGAGCATAAGAGAAATAACGTGAAGTCAGAAGGGGTTATTACAGTTAGGCAACCAACTATACGTTAGTATGAACAGTTTTTGATATTGCCGTTTACGGACGTGTTACGTTAATAAACATTTGTGGTTTATATATTTGATTTTAAAGTTCAGACAAGTGTTAAAATGGTGGGTTGTTGTGTCGTGTTTTGCACTAATAGATCCAGTAAACCGAGTAAACGCCAAATAAAAGAAGAAAACGAAAATAAGATCACCTTTCACATGTAAGGTTAAATTTACATCCACTCAAATTGCTGTTTTAAAACGATTTTTTATATAACTAACATTTCACTTAACAGCTGTCTAATTTCTAAATGTGTTACCTAGCTTTCCAAAAGACGCTGAAAGAAAACAACGGTGGAAAAATGCTATTCGACGAGAAAATTGGGAACCTTCTAATAACAGTGTGGTCTGCTCTGCACATTTTCGTACAACAGACTTTATTAACTCTGCTAATATCTGCAAGCTCAAAATGTCAGCTGTACCATCTGTTTTTAAGGACTATCCTCTGTATCTTCAAAAGGTAAATTGCACTGTAAGATTCCATACAGAATCTACTATAATTTTATTTTAGATACAAAAAATTCGTAAGTCTCCCAAGAATCGAATTCCATTGGCTGTTATCCAAAAGCCATCAATTGTAGAAAATGTTGAAGAAACTGAGACTTCGGCTGAGACAATAATTGAAACAATGGAAGTTGGATTTGATACGAATGAAACTGTGTGTCATGCTATAGAAAACAACACTCAATCTAGCAGAAGTTTCAACACTATATGCTCATCGTGTACATTGTTAAAATCCACTATTACAAAATTAAGTGGCCAATTACTCAAAGCACAACGTAAAATTAAAATGTTGCAGCAAGCAAAACGGAGAAGTTCTAAAAAAGTAGCCACTATGAACAATGTCATAAAAGCTTTAAAAACGCAATTTCCTAGTGATACTGCCAACATCCCTTGCTTAGATATGTTAAGTAAAGAGAGTGCTCAATTATTACACCGTCAAGCAAGTAAAAGAAAAAATTTACGAATTGCACAAAAATATCCTCCAGAATTACGAAAATTTGCACTAACGTTGCATTATTACAGTCCTGCATCATATCGCTATGTGCGTGATCAATTTGATACATGTCTCCCTCATCCAAAAACAATTTCTAGATGGTACCGATCTATTGATGCAAAACCAGGCTTTAGTTTTGAAGCACTGCAGGCCATTAAAATGAAAGCAGCAAATACACCATACAAAATTGTTGCTAGCCTTGTTTTTGATGAAATGTCAATACGTCGAAAAATTGAATATGATGGATTACTTTACCATGGTTTTCTTGATATGGGTGCCAATGTTGATGTTGATGAGAGTACAGTTGCTAAGGAGGCTCTTGTTTTTATGCTTGTAAGCATTAACAGCAATTGGAAAGTACCAGTTGGCTATTTTTTAACAGCTGGATTAGGCGTTGATCAAAAATCAAGTCTTATTAGGACGTGCTTAACTTTACTGCAAGAAACAGGAGTAAATGTTATTTCTATAACATTCGATGGATTGTCTACCAATTTTTCCCTAATGACCAACCTGGGATGTCAAATCAATACTGATTTGCAATTAAAACCATATTTTAGGTAAGAAAATCAATGTGTACATAAATTGTTAAGACTGTAAAATTTTATTTTAGTCACCCTGTTACCAAGGAACGTGTGTATGTCTTCCCGGATCCTCCTCATATGTTAAAACTTGTGCGGAATGCTTTAGCTGACAAAAAAGTTTTATACGATAGCCAAAATTCTAAAATAGAATGGAATCTTTTGGAAAAATTACATGACCTACAAGACAAGGAGGGTCTGCATTTAGCAAATAAGTTGAGAGGTGTTCACATACATTTTCAAAACCAAAAAATGAAAGTTAAATTAGTTACTCAGCTTTTATCACGTTCAGTAGCTGTTGCATTGAGTATTTGCAAAGATAAATTACAGATGCAAGAATTTAAGGAGTCAACAGGAACTATTACGTTTTTAGATAATTTCAATAATTTATTTGATATAATGAATAGCAGAAGTATCAAGCAATTTGATTTCAAAAAGCCAATAAATGCAAACAATTTTGAATATTTATTTAATGAGCTTGACAAACTACAAAAGTATATTCAAGGATTAAAGTTTGATTTGATCAGTACAAGTTCTGTGATATATTCAAATCGAAGGACTGGATTTCTTGGTTTTATGATTTGCATTGAATCACTAAAATTAATGGTACATGAAATGATTTTATCAAAGAAATTATTGGCTTATATACCCACATACAAGATGTCTCAAGATCATGTTGAACTTTTTTTCTCAGCCATAAGGGCCCACACTGGATTTAATAATAATCCCACAGCTCGTCAGTTTAAATCTGCGTTCAAAAAATTGCTAATTCAAGCAGAATTTAAAAACTCGAGTAATGGAAATTGTGTTCCTTTAGAGTGCTTTAGTATTTTACATTGTTCTAGTACACGTGAAAGTACCAGAGCAGTAGAGATTATTAACGAAACATGCTTTAAAAAAACACATACAGATGGTAAGTTGATAAGTCGCTTTTCCACTTTAATGTTTGCTAAATTTTTAGATGATTTGGATGTCTACGATGATATTACGGATCACAATTACGTTCAACTTCCAGGACAATTAACAGAATTTACAAAACAAATAGTTGCCTATATGGGAGGATTTGTTGTGAGAAAGTTGTTAAAAAAAATTAAATGTGAAGAGTGTATTGAAGCATTAACGTCTTCAGTACAAAATGTACCCTTGATTGCACTGAGAGATAAAGGTGGTTTAATATCTCCATCCGATGATGTAATAAACATATGTATGACTTCTGAAACTATTCTTAAAAGAGCACTAGAAGAAAGTGGTGGAAAAATGTTGTTGAAAAAATTTTCATGTTTATTCCTTGTTGGAAAAGTTTTAAAGGTCTATTTAAATAAACCAATATTTATTGGTCTCTCAGATCATGTATTAAGCCACATTGCCATTGAAAATCATGTCATACAATTAATACGTGCAGTTGCAGAATCTTACATTGTAGTTCGTTTACATTATGTATCAAAAAGATATACAGACACCACTAATTCAAAGCGACAGGTATATAACAAATTAATTTTGTTTCAAGGCTGTTAGATTTTAAGTTAAGTATATTTATTGCATCCGTGTTTAAAATTTATTTTAAAAAAGATATATGCTTCTTTAAATAAAAAAAATTGTTACCGAAAGCTTATTTTTCCCATTGATGTAAGTTGAAAAGTGTTCATAGTATCACAAGTTGCCTAACCTAAACGAGGTTCCCCTCTCACACTTCATGGCTACAAGGTCAAATCCCCCAAACTTGAGCAATGCTCCCTCTGTTTCATTCTATACTCTAAGGTTATAATAGTCAGCGACTCACAACGTGTTTATTTTTCAAGTAAGTACATACTAGTAACATTTAAGTTCTGTATTTATAGCGTTACTGGGTTATTGTTTTACAGGATGGCGTTGTATGAAAGGGAACAGGCACGATTGGCAGCACTAATGGAAGAATGTTTGCTGGAGGATGACAATGACGTGACCGCCATACATTATGATGATGCATCGGATCCAGATGAAGAAGATATCTTAGAAACAGATGACCACAATAGCGATACCGAGCAAGATATTTCAGATGACGACGTTGATGATAATGATGATTCGGCCCTTTATTTTCTTGGAAAAGATAATCAATCGAAGTGGAACAAACATTGTCCAAGAAAAAACGTGAGAACGAGAGCAGTAAACAAAATTTCAGACATGCCAGGCGCTAAACCCGCCATGAAGGGTACGAAATCTATGTTAGATATTTGGCAGCATTTTCTTGATGCTGATATTCTCAGAGCCGTTGTTGCGTACACCAACAAACACATTGAAAGTGTACGTGATAACTACGCTAGGGAAAGAGACGCGAAACTTACAGATATTACGGAAATTCAAGCACTAATTGGTCTTCTATATTTGGCTGGCGCATTAAAATCGAATCGCTTGAATGTTGAAGATTTATGGAATAACCAAGGAACGGGTATAGAAATTTTTCGTCTGGTAATGGGGAAAAATAGGTTCCTATTTTTATTACAAAATCTAAGATTTGATGATATGGAGACTCGCGATGAACGAAAAAGGGTGGACAAACTTGCGCCGATCAGGGACTTTTTTGATACGTTTGTAAGCAAATGCAAACTCGCCTATTCGCCATTTGAAAACATCACCATCGACGAAAAGCTAGAGGCTTTTAGGGGTAGGTGTGCTTTTAGGCAGTATATCCCCAGCAAGCCTAATAAATATGGGATCAAGATATTTGCACTTGCTGACTCAAAAACATATTACACGGTAAATATGGAAGTGTACCTGGGAAAACAACCGGATGGCCCGTACGCTACACACAACTCCGCATCGGAAGTTGTTAGAAGACTGTGTGAGCCCATTAGAGGATCCTGTAGGAATGTAACATGTGACAACTGGTTCACTGGAGTCGATTTAATCCACCGCCTTCTCAATGAGTATAAGCTTACTTTCTTAGGAACTATACGTAAAAATAAGCGGGAACTCCCAATCGAGTTTTCTAAGCCTACTGGCAGACCAATTGGTTCCAGCATATTTGGATTCCAAAAGGATCTTACGCTGGTATCATACATGCCAAAACCTAAGAAAAATGTGTTGTTGATATCCAGTTTACATCATGATGATATAGTAAGTCCAAGTGGGAAACCGGAGATGATTTTAGATTATAATGCCAGTAAAGGCGGCGTTGATACTGTGGACAAACTATGTGCGTCTTATAATTGTGCTCGAAACACTCGAAGGTGGCCCATGGTAATTTTTTACGCCATTTTGAATGTAGCTGGTATTAATTCAATGGTTCTGTACTTCTCAAATAATATTGACATTCAAATGACCAGGAGAAAATTTCTTAAAACACTATCATTCTTTCTTATCGAAAACCACCTAAGAACAAGACTGCAAACCCAAAATTTACCAAGGACTATGAAAGACCGAATAAAGGAGCTTACAGGAGTACCTGCACCAAATCAAGAACCTCCAGTCGCTACACGAGGACGTTGCAGTTACTGTGACAGGAGAAAGAATCGGCCAACAAGAATAACTTGCAAAAAATGTTTTAAATTCATCTGTGGTGAACACACTTTACACCTTTGTCTTGATTGTTTTTCAGAACACATTGAGCATGCATAGACACCATTTTATTTTTTACCATACCTTTTTGTAATGTTTCTTGTATGTATAATACAATTTTTTTATAGTACATTAGTAGCAAATAAACATCATTTCTTCAATAAACGTTTGTTAGATTTTACATACACATCAATTAAACTACTGCGGAGCGTCAGTCAGCAGCGGGTATGCATGTTCCAAAATAAAGCGCGTGTTCAGGAAGGTTAAACAGCTGTCAGCTAAAGGTACCCATTGGAACATTGGCATGTTGGGCTACTGATTCTATTGTATCAGATACAGGTATGTTAACATACCGTAAAAACAAATTGGGTTCTCTCTACGACCCCAACTGAATCATCCCGTGAATCATCTTAAGTGGACTGTTACACTATCAATATTACTGATATTATTGAAACTTCCTCCTCAGCTCAGTATTGATGGTTTGGCAAAGCGCAACAGGTGTTGAAACATCCAACATTTGTTATTAGTATTGGACGAATACGGTCTACTTACAATTTAATCTTCTTTTAAAGCAATACTACACACAGACTCACCTGTGAATTTTTCCGGTCCGATTAATTATATAAAAAGTAAGATTTTCTGTCCTAGTTTGAACTGGTATGGATTTGATAAAGAAGGCCTGTTCCTTATCATTATTCTCACAAACAATCCTGAAACCAACAAAAGAAAAAATCCCCATATAGGTATAAAAAAAACTTACTTCTGAAACAGTACTTGTGGTTCACTCTCAATGTCGAACACAATAACAAGTCCACTACGCAAACAAACACACAGCAAAGTTCCATTTAAATTAATGGAAAATGTATCAATAATATCGTCAAAAGTATTATTTAAACTCAAGACTGTGCAGTGCAAGTCTTGAAAGCTACGAAGCGATTTATTGATGGAAAAAAGAACAGATCCGTTGTTTACCAGCGAGTGAATGGTCGGTAACGTTGTGGTACCCTAGAAAACGATAGGAACACACAACAGTAGTCTTACAATAGCTTACCCCATCCGAGCTTTGAATAACAGCTAATGTGCTAGTTTCGTGCAAATCGTCCAAGCCACCGAGACACCTTGTTCCAAAGTTCATAGTCTCTTCCCAAGCGTTATACCCACATTCTATGTTTTCCCAATCAGACATTTTTCAACGTAAAATTCTAATCTAATATCTACTAATGTTCGTTTAATGAAACCGTTAAACGCCGGCTTAAAACGTAAACAAGGTCAACTTTTAAAATATAAACAACGTGGTGTTTGTTTTCACTGCTGCCAACTGACGAAGTAAACTATTCCAACAAAATAAACATAGATATCCATACTGTAATAGAAGCGACTTCAAAACATATGTACAATACGGTTTTCGCTATAAATTGAGGTGCGTTCGGTAACTAATAACGTTTTCGACTGCAGTGGAGCTGGAGAGTAAAACGAGCTTGTCTGACGTCATCCTCTCTAGTAAGGGTGCGTTCGAGTAAAATACTAATTCGCTAAATAGCGCTTATGCTCGTGGTAAACGATTTCAACGTTCAAGGAGACTAAAAGCCGCTTTACATTAGGCAATTTTAGTGCAATGCAAGGCTTGTGCTATGCAATCTAAAATTGCCTTGCATTGCACGGTTATGCAATTGTGTTGCAACTTTTGTGCAAGTTCAGAAAAGTGTTGCAGTACTGACAACATATTTTTCAAAAATTGAAACTTTTCAGTTTGTTTACACAGAAGGTTATTCTTGAAACTTAATAAAATTGACCATTAGGTATGAGCAAACAAAAGGAAATTAAGCTGGCTACAGCTTGTTATGTGGTGGCGCTTGCTATTAAAAAAAACACACAAAATAACACACGCGAAACCAAACAAATTGTGGTATTGACAAAATTACTAGAAAAGTTACTAGAACTTGCGCCAAACTTGCAAGTGAAATAGAACTTTCTCTATGCGATGCAGGTATGTACAAATTAAGACCTGTTAACTAGAATCTAAAATTGTTTTTCTGTTTTAGATATAACTTTTGCCCACCAAATTTTGCAGCGAGAAATTCAAGGGACAAGTTCCAATGATGCTGGATGCTCGAGTAATTGTTACATTTTCTTTATTTACATGATTAACTATTAGTGTATGTATTATAGATGAAGAGGAACCAGTAAAGCAGGTATCGGAGGACATTCCTGTGAACGGTAAGCATAAACACTTATAGGTCAAAGTGTTGAACTCTGTATATATATATTTGTTAAGCCTGCTACACACATGCAAGCAAGTCGTACAACTTGGCTTGAACAGACCAAATCGTACAACTTGCAAGTGTGTGTGTAGAGCAAGTCGGAGCTTGAGTTGGGCTAGAAGTTGGGCATGCGTGAAATCGGACAAAACCGATTGCGTACAGTTAAATCGTACTGCAAGTCGAGACGTGTGTATGCGAACACGGCAGAATCGGCGAACTTGAGTAAAACAGAGCGTTCACTGCAACAACATGGCCGATCTAAGAAGTCTATCCCGAGATTTCCTAACGGAATTTATCGAGATGTACCGGGAAAACCCGTGCCTGTGGCAAATAAAAAGTAAGGACTACAGTAATAAACAGAAGAAGAATGCTGCGTATGCAAAATTAGTAAAAAAACTTGAAGAAGTGGAAAAAAATGCAACCAAAGAAAGCGCCGTGAAGAAAATTAATTCGTTGAGGACGTGTTTTCGGAAGGAGTATCGCAAGGTTTTGGCATCTGAGAGATCTGGGGTCGGCACAGATGAATTATATATACCAACTTTGTGGTATTATGAATTACTTACGTTTTTGTTGGAACAGGAAGAACCTAAACCTTCAAGAAGTACAATTTCTGATGATGAGGGTGATGATGTGCAGGAGGTAAGTAAATAAACATTTATATTATTTCGAAATCTGTTTTATTCGCGTTGTACTATCATACGGTCTTGCCATTCTACAGCACCAACACCATTGAAATACTCTAAATACTGCTGTCTCGTTTGTTTTGCATTTGCGGAAATATTGGTTGGTGTTCTTTGTAATTCATCGAAAACCCCATGAGATGCCAATCCCGGTGTAACGGTCGCATTGCCAATGTCTTCTTGGTCGGTACTTTCTGGTGGAATATAATGATTTGAACTCTTGATGCATAAAAAATTGTGGAGAATGCAACAGCACAAAGTAACAATCTCTGTTGTTTCTAATTTTAAGTTAATGTCAGTATGGAAAATTCTAAACCGGGCTACCAATATTCCGAAAACGTTTTCTATAATTCTTCTGGCCCTACTTAACCTGTAGTTAAAAATTCTACGCTCGTAATTCAACTGTTTTTGACTGAAAGGATTTAGCATATCCGGGCGAAGAGTAAACGCTTCATCAGCAACAAACACGTACGGCAAAGCACCGTTACCAACTTTCGGAATTTTTAATTTATTTGCCACAAGTAGTTCATAAAATGTAGTGTTTCGTATCACTCCACCATCCGAAACTCTTCCATTAGTGCCGATGTCACACATAATGAACTCATAGTTGGCGTTGCTAATTGCCATCAGTACAATACTGTTCCGTTTCTTATAATTAAAATAGTAGGAGCCACTTCCTTTTGGTGCAACGATATGGATATGTTTCCCATCTACTGCGCCGATGCAAGTGGGAAACTGCCATTCGGAATTAAATTCTTTTGCTATTTTTTTCCAATCGTTTTCTGTCTTAGGTAGCTGAAATTAAGTAAAAAATTAATGAATGTATACTTTTTAAGGAACAAAACACACAATCACTTGGTCCGGAAGCGGAAACGCAACAGTCGAATGAAGAGACAAATGAAACGCAACGTTCCGATTATGAAAGTGACCCACTATCCCCTACTGTGGATAGATCAAGAACTCCATCATCTACGACAGTAGTGGCTCACCGTTCTAGATCAGGATCTAGGGCACCATCTTCTAATGGAGGAAAAAGAATGAAGAAGGCAGACGCCGTGCTGGATATTGTAGCTCAAAAGTTGCAAGCACCAAATCCAATTAGGGAATTTGATAACTTTGCACACCATGTTGCTGAGCAACTCAGGGAGGTGCCGAAACAACAAGCAATTTATCTTACAAAAATTATTAACGATGGTATCTTTGAAGCCCAGTGTGGAACCCTAACGCGAAACTCTCGCATTGTGTCTCAACCTGCTGAGTTACCTGCACCTGAAGGGTATTATGTTGCTCCTTTAGCCCCAGCCCAAAATACGCACCATACACAAAATAGAGTTAGTCAAGCGAGCATATATCCGGATCACTGCCAACACCAGGCGCCAATCTCGGAGGCACTGGCAAACTATTTTAGCAATGTCGCACCATAACAATGTGTGTTTGATTCCTATGTAATAATTATAAAATATTTCTTACGTGGTTTCTTACCTTCATGTATTTATCTTTTAGAACGGTTATTATTGCTTTGCATGTTTCGGGGATTATCTGCGACAATGCTTGGGGTGATATAATTACGGAAAACTTCAAGTCTTCGAAAGTTCGACCTGTTGCTAGAAATCGCAGCGTTGCAGTTAATCTTTCGTGAGGAGTAATTGCAGCTCTCATTACAGTGTCTTTCTTTCTAATTAATGGAGCAACACTACACAGTAATTCCTCATAAGTACTACCGGTATCCATTCTAAGGTAGTTTAACCAATCGCGAGGTTCTAGTCTCAATTCATCTAATAAGTTGGTATGAGAATATTTGCCTCTTTTTGTTAACCAATGCTTAGTCCAGCGTGAGCGTTTTTTTGATTTTGATTTCACGTACAGTGCAACTGCTGTGGCAATAAGTATATCATCCGAAGCCATTGTTCAAACTAACTAGATAGACACCTACCTACTAAAGTTGTTCCATAAGTCGCGAATTAAGTCTGTGCGCGTGGAAGCTCAAAACCACAACCGACTTTTCAGTCAACTTAGCTTGACAAGCCAAATTGTACGACTTGCTTGCATGTGTGTAGCAGGCTTTATAGTTGTTGGCAACAATGTAATAGACTATGTATGTGTCATGTCTACCGCTCCTTGTACTTGTGCATTTTTGTATCATGCATGCTGCCGTATTCATTTAACAGTCTCTGTATGGGCTTTATAGTTCAAGTGTTCAATGTTAATAAATGACGAATAAATCTTCTTAAATACAACAACCTTCACAAAGTAGGTATACTTATTTATTTATTTGCAGCATATAAGTGGTCCCATGAGGCAGTCCTTCTTTTATTAGAATTATATAGAGAAAAAGAAAATTTAATTACGTCTGGTAAAATAAGTCAAAAAAAGCATGGGATAGAATTTCAGAAATATTAAATAATAAAGGACATGATGTTACTGGGCCACAGTGTATGACCAAGTTTAATGGACTGAAAAGAACGTTTAAGTCAATTAAAGATCACAACAAGTCGGGAAACAGTCCTAGGGCTTGGCCTTACCTACAGGTTTAACATTAAATTTATTAGACTAACAATTAATTCTAATTTATAGGTAATGGATGATCTATTAGAAAATAGGCCATTTATGGCTCCACTTTCCACAGTTTGTTCATCAGGTACAGAAAGCGAAGGAAGCAGACCTTCTTCTGCATGTTCTGAGCCATTGTCCGCCACTACTTCACGTAAGTGATATAATATTATAAGATACACATGTAAATTTATTAACATTAGGAAAACGCAAAATGGAACAAGATGTATCTCTAATCAGCAAAGCAATTACAAAATCGCGAGAAATTGCAGAGTTGAATCGTCAGCGACGATACGAAGAAAATATGACCCAACGACAAAATTTGTTGGAAAAATTGGACAAATTAATAGATAAAATGTAGACATTTCTGTATTCGTTCTTTATTAATATCTGATTAAATACATTAGAAAAGTAAACAAAATTGTAAATAATTCAAATTATACTAATCTCATAGGTAGACGTTCAGAAATCAAATCTCTTTTTGCTAGTCCTGCTTGAATTCGATTGGGGGGAGCTATACAAAGGGGCGCATCTTGTATTTCTTCCATGAAAGTGTATTCTAACTCATCATTTTTTAACAAGCAAATATGCAGTACACAACAAGCTAATACAAATGTGGGCACATTATGAGTATTGTTCATAGGTAGCACTGTCAACAAACTTCGGAACCTGTTTTTTAAGAGACCAAAGGCTCTTTCAATACTCATTCGTGCAGATGAGTGACAAAAGTTGAAGTTCTTCTGACGTTCAGTCAAATATCCATTGTCACGGTATGGAGTTAAAAGGTTATCATGTAACTTATATGCTAAATCTCCTATCAAATGACTGTCATTAGGAAATTTAATAGGGTTACCTAAAAAATCATTTAATTCTGATAGTCTAAACACACGCTGATCATGTACAGATCCTACATGGCCTACAAAGCAGTGTGTAAAACGACTTTTATGATCGCATACTGCCTAAAATATTAAAAATAAATAAAAAGTAACAGAAATATTTATATACTTGTAGTTGGATGGAATGATGTCCTTTGCGGTTTACATAAGCTTCAGGATTTCTATTTGGAGCCGGAATGTTTATATGAGTTCCATCAATTGCTCCTATTGTTTTCGGAAACCCACTGATGCTTGCTTCGAAGCCTGTCCATATAGCTTATTGCACATCATTAGCATGTGGCCATTTAATAAAAATTGGTGAAAGATTACAGAGTATTTTGGTGACCCTTTTTGTTGAATACAAAGCCGTTGAACGGCTGACATCAAACTTTTCACAAATAGATCTACATAAACAATAAAAAAGATATAAAAGAAGTTAATTATATTAAAAACAACCTGTATGAATCTGGAGTAGCCATTCGCCAAATTGCAATGAGAAATTGTTTCTCAGGTGCAATCATGAGTAACCCTTTGTAGGTCCTCTTTAACCTTGGAGCCATATGTGACAATATGAATTCAAATGTGTCACGACGCATTCTAGTATTAAAAAAATTGGCAGATAAACAGATCAATTCATTACTATCTTACCGGAAATGCGATTTAAATTGTTGATCATTAAAATTAGGTACAACGCTTTCTACATAATTTTTTAATCGTGGTACAACCACCTTTTTATGAGAAACTAATTGATTTAACACCTCCAGATCCTCATTTTCACTTTCTGTTGACAAAAACGTTTCCAAAAATTCAGTAACAATCAAATTTACTGCGGTAAACAGGTAACCGTCAGCCCGAGAAGTAGCCATAATTAAATTACTGTCGCCTATTCTTTAAAAACAAAACAATTGTTTTTTTAGGTTATGTTATGTAGGTTACGTTAACGCTTTTTTTCGCGTTCGAGTTTAACAGCCGTCTTTGTAGCTTTTAGTCTCCTTGAACGTTGAAATCGTTTACCACGAGCATAAGCGCTATTTAGCGAATTAGTATTTTACTCGAACGCACCCTTAGTAGAGAGGATGACGTCAGACAAGCTCGTTTTACATGTCACCTTCCGAAGAACTTGAAATCCGCCCTTTTAAACACTGGGCTAATATTACCGGATACTATTGTAAAAGAAGAAGGTTTACCCACAAACATGGTTCATGGGGATTATGTTAAGAATTTATTTAAAATGGAAATGGAAAATGATAGTGCTCTTCGGTCCTTATTCCATTTAAAACATATGGACATTAATCCAGACCACCATGCAAAAATGAATGTTGGTAGTTCTGTTCGATTCTTTTCAATTCAAACAGCCGCAGCTTTAGAAAATGCAGTCAAGCTTGGATTTATTTCAAAGGATGCTTTAAGTACAGCATTTTTTATTAGAATGATGTGGAGATGGTTCGAAATATGTGCATCGAAATGTTCAACAAAATCCATTACCAAAAGGAATAAAAATGAAAAAATTCGTTTTCTCCAATATCTCTTTGAGGGGCAGTGGTAGACAGATTGTACCGTTTTTTTTTGTGTTATTGAGCGGCGGTGGTCCAAAATATGTACCACTTGTTGGTACTATTCCTACTAATGTATTGGTGGTATTATTCCTAAGCCACAAGATGCTAACGCCCCCTATGGACCGTTGAAGGTAAATAGAAATAGCCGGTAACTGAGTGTGGTGTAATCTGTAATTCCAAATGTCAGTTATTTTGTCATAAATGCTATGGAATGTTTTGTTGTGTTTATTTGATGTAAAGGTTGGAATTATTGGTCGATAGTGAAATAGTTGTGACTTGATATACATTGGTGAGTATTATTCTGAGCTAAAATAACATGGAGTTTGAATTCTTGTTGAAGATGAAGTTACTTTTATGGTGGTACGTTTTGTGTACCGCTGTTCCGCTTGTATACCTTCTGATGGCATGTGGTTTTGTAGGCAAAATGTCCAGATTCAGAGTGGACGGGATAAGTTATAATCTGCGAGATATGACTTTAGACGAATTATATCAGGAAATAGAATGTATTGAGGAGTCAATACCGTCAGATTCAGAATCGGAAGTTGCTGTTTCTGACGCTGAAGAACTTGTCGATAATATTGAAGGTGGTGAAGTTGAAGAAATCGTTCTTTCAGGCAGTGAAGATTCAGAATCTGATTTACCATTAGCGACTGTGAGAGATTTGATTATTAACAATGTTACTCCAATTACTACACCAATTATCACTCAAGTTTATAGTCCACCAACATGGTCAAATGATTATAAACCTACTGCACCACCAATATTTACCCATCCCTCTGGGGTGCCTGCTTTTATAAAAAATATAGATAAGCCAACCCCCTATACACTTTTCCAACAATTAGTACCAGAAGGATTCATTGAAAATTTGGTATTTCAAACCAATTTATATGCAGAGCAAGTCAAACAATCTTCTGGTAAAAACTATGTCCCCACGAACACAACCGAAATAAACACATTTTTGGGTATCAATATGCTTATGGGCATCAAGAAGTCCCCAAGTTACAAAGATTATTGGTCCACAGCGCCTGATCTAAATGACGCTTTCATTTGTAGTCTAATGAACTTGAAACGATTCAGTTGGCTACTGTCACATTTACATATTAACGATAACTCTCTTATGCCTCCCCGTGCGTCCCTCAATTTTGACAAACTCTTCAAAATACGTCCAATGATAGATGCATTGTCAGCAACGTTTGAAAACTGCTTGCTCCCAAACCAACAAATAGCTGTCGATGAGTCAATGATAAAATTCAAGGGACGTAATTCGTTGAAACAATATATGCCCAAAAAGCCAATCAAACGAGGCTACAAAGTGTGGATACTTGCCGATAAAAGTGGATACTGCTTGAAATTTGATTTATACACAGGTAAAACAAATTCTCAGGAAAACTGCCTTGGCTCTCGTGTTATACATCAACTTACATCTCATTTGCGTCGTAAAAATCACATGTTATACTTTGACAATTTTTTTAATAACGTCCCATTGATGGAAGATTTGAAACGGCATGATATACATGCTGTTGGGACAGTCAACATGGCACGACGGTATCTACCTACGTTCAAGCCCGACAGAACTATGAACCGCGGTGAATTTCAATAGTTTACCAGCAATACGGGGTTAGCAGCCATAAAATGGAAGGACAATAGAGCTGTACACCTTATATCAAACTGTCATGATCCAGAAAATTTGAGTGAAGTAAAGCGGAAACAGAAAAATGGCAGCACAACTATGATCCCATGTCCTGATGCAGTGATCGATTATAATCGGAACATGAATTATGTTGATAAGTTTGATCAATTATTATCAAGTTATAAAATTGATCGGCGGAGTAAGAAATGGTGGCATAGAATTTTCTTCTATTTATTGGATGCTGCAGTTGTAAATGCGTACTGCATTTATAAACTATTGGATTTACCCAAAATTACTGCTAAAGACTTTAGACGTGCTGTGATAAATGGTTTGTTGGCAAAACAGTTGGTGTCTAGAAAGCGACGCTCGTCAAATGCAATACCCAGGACATTAATTCAAGTGAAGAAATCAAAACCGTTCATCCCTCCTGAAGTACGACTGTGTTCTTCAAAACATCAACCTGCACGTAGCTCCCGAAGAAGATGTGCACTATGCAGCACCAAAGCTAAACAGGTGCGCACAGATTGGATTTGTTCCGTGTGTCAAGTACCTTTATGTTTAAGCAAAAAGAAATCCTGTTTTCAGAAGTATCATATCAATTAAATTGATTTCACATTATGTATTTAAAAAACTCTTATGTATGAGAATAATGGATTGGTGGTACAGTTAACATACCACCTCAAATTTTGAAAAAAATAAGCTCACTTTTGAAAAAATACGTTTTGTTTATGTGACTTGTACATATTTAAGCCAGTTATCTATTTCGTTTTGTAATATACTAACATTAAAAATTTTGCCCCACTTGGGATTTTATTTTGTCAGAAATTCTGCTCCTCAAAGAGTTAAATTATAAACATGTTTGAAAATACTGTTATTGGAAAAGGATGGAAACCTCTTAATACGGGTATCATATGGCTACCACAGGACTTCTTCAGATTTCAAATGAATGTCTTCAAAGCACACGTCATTTCAGATATGTTTCAGAAACCTGTCAATCCTTCATTTAGCGTACATTGCATTAGCAACGTTGCGGATATCTTACCGAAACGTGTAATTGTTATATTTCTAACAAACGTATCCAAATATTTCGGCAACATGTCAAAAACAACAATAAAAAAATTATGTAATTTTTCGTCATTACTCTGTCGAAGTACAAAAAATTAATATAATTTTGAACATGTCTCTAGTTTATATTCAAAGCTCGTTCAGTGCCGAAGTGATCGTGTAACATATTTGTTTGAAAAGATCAAGTTCAAGATACGTAGGTTCGTACATCTTCGTTTCGTATCGCGTGAATTAGTGATTTTAGTTTTTTACAGTCTGCACTTCTGAAATTATTGACATCAATATAACCTTAAAAAAGTAGCTATCCAAAAAAGCAATTAATGCACGTGTAGGTGGTCTGTGATGCACGTTAATGAAGCTTGAAGCAAAGTGTACGTGTATTTGGATTTTGGAATATTTATAGAGGTTATTTGCGGAAGCTAACTGCCCATAACAACAAATCGAGCAAGTTTTGGTGGTAGGGGAAGGTTGTGCAAAACCGGGTAGTCTTGTCAAACCGGGTACCAGGGGTTTTAGCCTTCTCTTATATATATGGTTTTAGCTATAATGGTGGTGCTATCTGTCGGCATTCACCTGAACTATCATCTTTGCAACTACAGAATGATGTGGAGAAAAAGAAATCGTACGTTTCCTTCTTTTTCCCGCCGCCTGCTAGATCAAAACGAAATCGCGCTTGCTGATGTTATTTTTTTCAGTTGTTCAAAGACTCGCCATTGGTATTGTGCATGTGGATTTTTTTTAGTAAGTACTTTTTTCTCCAACCACCTGAATAAGACGCTATTTTGTGCCAGTGTTCGGTACGTAAAATTGACGTTTTGCGGATTAATCGCTTTCACCATGGCAACTGTACAAAAAGTGGATACTTTTGGTCCTAGTACCAAAAAGAAATTGACCTTGAAAGTTGGCCAATTAAAAAATTACAATCACGGAGATATGTCACATTGACATCGTTTTACATTGCAGGTTGTAAGATATTTCTATACATACAAATCAAATATTTTTGCATATTCAATACAAATAATGATTTCTATGCGTATGTACATGTATTGAAAATGATTTACGCTCGCTATTTTTATTTAAACCATGTGTAACGTAATTTACATATTCGGTGAACGTAATTTTAATACGTATACAACCCGCCGTCGCGCGTAACGCCATCTACTTCAGACCCATTGCACTATTATCTGTCATTTTGAATTCAAAATTTGAAAAAGTTAATTGCAATTAATTTTAATTAAAAAACTGTATGGTAAGTTGTTTATTTCAATACAAAATATAACAATATTAATTTGTGTATACAATAAAAATGACTGAAACTGATAGCGACATGGATTGGACTCCGCCAGTGATTATAGAAACGGCAGAACATCCTACCTCAAGATTTGCTCCCTACAAAGTCGCGAGAGGTGAGAAGTTAGAAATAAGAACGAATAGGTTATAACCTAAAAACTAGAGTGGCACGACACGTGAGGACAAGAAAGCAGAACTTGTTATACTATAGTAGTGAAACTGTGACTGAATCTAAATTCGAATATAATTTGAAGTAAAGGGGGTTGGAGAAAAAATTTTATGTTTTATTCGTACAAAAAATGCGTTTTCGGGACTCGGAAGGTTGCTGGACTCCGCTAACGCGTCGTCCAGCAACTATCTTCCTCGTCCCGAAAACTGACATTTTTTGTACTAATGAAACAAATAACTATTTTTTATTCCTTGGCCTGTGTTCTTTTATTGTTTGTGTTTAATATTTTAACAATTTTCTAACACAAAAAATGTTTTACTTATAACAAAAATAATGTCACTGTCGTACAAAACCGGGTAGTAAGGGGTCTTTCATAACCGGGTGTACCCGGTTTTGCAAGACTCAATTCCAATGAAATATTGTAGGCATTTAGAGAGTTTAGGTAAACTATTGAACTTTGGTCCATGTATTTATTTACAGAAAATGCCACGCGTTCGAAAAACAAGAAGGCAGAGCTGGCCGGTAGAGGAAATGGCAAAAGCCATTGAAGAAGTTTTAGCCGGGCGGATGGGTTATATGAAAGCGGCTAAAACCTTCAATGTGCCACAATCAACGCTAGAAGATAGAATAAAGAAAGCACGCACTCAGAACCTTTCTCCTGCTGATGCAGCTATCAAGAAGTTAGGCCGTTATACCTCCGTATTTTCGTCTTCCGAAGAGCGGGAGCTTGTGCAGTATGTTCTGAAACTTGAAGAAAGACTTTTTGGAGTCACTCTGAGGGATCTTCGCGCACTCGCTTTTGAATTAGCGGAAAAAAACGACATGAACCATCCCTTTAACAAGGAGAAGAAGATGGCTGGAAAAACCTGGCTTTACGCTTTTCTCAAGAGAAATAATTCTCTGTCTCTCCGACGTCCTGAGGCAACATCTCTGGCTCGAGCCAAGGGGTTCAACAAAACAGCAGTGGGGGCTTTCTTCAATCTGCTACAGTCTGTCTACGAAGAGCACAAATTCAAACCGGAAAACATTTACAACGTCGACGAGACTGGAATGATGACAGTGCCAAACAAACAGTCGAAAATTTTGGCACTTCGCGGAAAGAAGCAAGTTGGATCACTCTCCTCAGCTGAGCGAGGAACACTGGTGACTGTGGAGACGTGCATGAATGCAGTGGGAAACTACATGCCTGTCATGTTTGTATTTCCAAGGAAAAGAGTGAATGATGCGCTGATGATTGGAGCCCCTCCCGGATCAACTGCAGAATATCACGAATCTGGATGGATCCAAAAGGCCTCGTTCGTGAAGTGGTTTAAGAAGTTCGTCACATTTGCCAACCCGTCAGCTACCAACCCTGTCCTCCTGCTGTTAGACGGCCACGCATCCCACACAACGAACCTGGAGCTCATAAAACTCGCGCGGACTCACCATGTTACGCTGCTCTGTTTTCCGCCTCACTGTACTCATCGTCTCCAGCCTCTCGACGTTTCACTGATGGCACCTCTGAGCACATATTACGAGCAAGAGACCAAGAAATGGCTGATTCAAAACCCTGGACGTGCCATCTCAATCTACCAAGTTGCACAACTGTTTGGAGCTGCATTTTCGCGAGCCGCAACAATGCAAACTGCACAGAGCGGCTTCTCGAAAACTGGGATCTGGCCCTTCAACCCGGATGTGTTCCCGGACTACCTGTTTGCGCCATCTGAAACAACAGAGAGATCGCTACCTGCACCGTCTGTGTCTGCCGTAAACTCAGGACAAGACTCCGGCATCGACGTTGTATCACCTGGACCTGCTCGAATAGCCAATCCTACAGCCTCTGCACCAGTCATACCAGAATCTGCCTCTATCGCCACTGTGGAGGAGTCGCCCGGAACTAGCACTCCCAAATCTGGACCTTCGACTTCATCGACAAAATTAAGAGTATCCCCATTTGACGTTAGACCAATACCAAAAGCTGGGAATGATAGGATTCAAAAGATCTCGAAAGCTAGGGGAAAGACAGCTGTCTTGACTACCTCTCCCTACAAACGAGACTTGGAAAAGGAAGAAGAAAAGAAGAAGGGTACTACAAAGAGGAAATCTGGGGCAAAGACAGCAAGGATTTTAAAGAAGAAGACTGTGAATAGCACTCATGACAGTTCATCGTCTGAAGAAGAGGAAGAAGAACATGCGTGCATTTTTTGCAACGAGTTATTCTCTGACTCAAAGGACAAAGAAGGCTGGATCCAATGTGTCAACTGCAAAGGCTGGGCCCACGAAGCCTGTACAGGACTAGAAGATATAGATGATATTTTTATTTGTGATTTCTGCCAATGAAAAAAACATTCTGATAGCTGAAAACTAACTTTTCAGTTATGTGATCTCTTATTTTATTTTTGTTACCTTGAATTTTTGTTCGGAATTTATTTTTATGCCTTTTTTTGTTACCTACTTGGAGACTGAATTTTTTTTTAATTAAACTCATTTTTATGACAAATAAAGTTAATACTTCCATTAAACTTAAAACAAATTCTGTTTTTTTGTATTTTTCACTATTTCATTTCATGTACCCGGTTTTGTCAGACTTCAAATTTTCAAGTACCCGATTTGACAAGACCGGTTGGACAAAACCGGGTGATTTGACTTTTTTTAGTTTTTCTGCTTTTTCTCGGAAACCAATGGTTGTAAAAAAAAATGGGTCTAGGGAATATTAGAAAACAATATTATTGTTCGTTTGTGCCTTATTATATTCCTTTATTGAAAAACAGGTCCTTAATTTTTCAATCCAAAGTTAAGGTACCCGGTTTTGCACAACCTTCCCCTAAGTGTATTTTATTTAGTTATTACCTATAAGTTAGATAAATAACGAGTCGCGCGTGTTTATACAAATTAAAAATGGAGGATGGGCTATTATTATTTCTATCACGGAAACATGCAAGTCATATTGTAGACATTTGAATCTTCTAACAGTGTTTATAGTTTTAGATACCATTATTCTAAAATGAGTCGAAAAACCAAATTGAAAACTAACCTTTCTTTGTCTACCCAACATACACGAAGATTAATTATGAAACAAACACGTTCTGATTTAAATCGCATACAATCTTCGGATCACAGTGGTCAATTGTCTACAAAGAACGAAGTTTTTGAAAGTAGCAGTTCTACCAATCATTTTTACTCAAATACATTTGATACTGAAGACTTACAATTGCATCAAAGCGAGCATCAAAGTAACTGTGATAATACCTCGAATAATACATTAACATCAGAAGTGTGTGACAACCCCGTAAATTCACCTTGTACTTCTGGTGAAAATATTGATGAGTTGCCGGAAGATTTGTATAACGAACTATTCCAAGCTCGATTTGAAGAGCCATTATTTCATATTGATGAACCTTTTAATGAGCCCACATTGGAAGCAAAAACCAATAACCCCGATTGTAAAAGTGATACTGCTAAAGTCAAGCTAGCAAACTGGGCATTGAACTACAACATCAATCAAAATGCATTTTCAGCATTATTAAAAATTTTAAATGAAACCTTTGATTGTAAATTACCCATTGATGCAAGAACCTTGCTGAAAACGCCACGTAAAAGTGCAATCTGTAAATTTTCTACTGGAAATTATGTCCACTTAGGCTTAAACCGAGCATTAAAAAATATTACTGAGGGTATAGTTGGAGATGTAGTCAATATTAAGCTTCTGATTAATATAGATGGCTTGCCCCTTTCTCGCTCATCAACTGCATGCTTGTGGCCAATATTGTGCTCGGAAAATGTAACCAAAAAGGTCTTTGTGGTAGGGTTGTTTCATGGCTATGAAAAACCGCAATCCTCTAGTGAATTCCTAAAACAGTTTGTAGAGGAAGCAGTGGATTACGTCACAAATGGCTTTTATGCCAATGGAAAAAAATATAACATTATTGTTGCCGGACTCATTTGTGATGCTCCAGCAAAATCATTTGTTTTAAACGTCAAGGGTCATACCGGATATAGTAGCTGTACCAAGTGCACAATAGAGGGAACTTTTTTGAACAACAGAGTGTGCTTTCCACAAACTTCTAACGCCCGTTTAAGACACGTTGATGACTATTTTCAAAATGGGGATGATGAATTTTATTTATCTAAAACTGTGCTACTAGAAATACCTAATTTCAAACCAGTAAGCGGAGTGCCATTAGATTATATGCATTTAGTGTGCTTAGGTGTTGTCAGAAAGCTGCTGTTATTTTGGATAGAGGGTAAACCACAATCTGGTGTGAAATTATCATCCCGTACACTTCAGGAAATTTCAAAAGTCATTCTGTCATGTAAGAAACTTGTACCACTGGAAATTTCTAGAAAACCTAGATCATTGTCAGATATACACCATTGGAAAGCAACTGAATTACGATATTTTCTTTTATATATAGGTCCTGTAGCATTAAAATCCAAATTGAATAGAGATGTTTATCTAAATTTTCTTACATTGCATGTTGCAATAAGAATCCTTTGCTGCCCTGCTTCTATTTTGAGAGAAGAAAATATCGAATATGCTGAAAATCTATTAAAACATTTTATTAAATCCTTCGAGCTCATTTATGGTACTCATAATATTTCTCATAATGTCCATAATTTGTCTCACCTTAGTGGGGATGTTAGAACCTTCGGAGCACTAGATGAATTTAGTGCATTTAGGTTTGAAAATTTTATGTCAACCATTAAAAGCCATATCCGAAAAAATGAGAAACCTCTTCAACAAATAGCTCGTCGGTTCAATGAAATTGAAAATTTAAATTTTTCAAGCAATAACAGATCATCAAATAAATCAAGCCTGTATAAAATTAAGAATTGCTTCCTAGATCTTTCCAATATGAAAGATTGTTGTGTATTGTTGGACAACGAGAATATTGTACATATTAAACAAATACAAGATGACACGATAACAGGATATTTATTTACAAAAGAAGGAAATTTGTACACATCTCCGTGCAAATCAGAATGTTTAAATATTTTCCTTTTATCTACAAGTTTTACAAGGGTGTCTTCTTCAATAAATTCTGTAAAAGCAAAACTATGGATATTGCCGTATAAAGGCGATTCATATGTTGGAGTTCCAATTTTACACTCGATTGATTAGATAGGATACTAGCATAAGAATAAGTAATAATGTTTATACCTATAACACTGTAATATTAAGGTAGGTTATTGAAGTGCATATAATTATGTAAATTATTTTTATTACAGGCAATTAATTAATATGAATTATAGTATAATTCAATTTGAAGATGGTGTGGAAGTAGTACCAGACAAATGGTTGGTTGGAGAAAACATGTGTTACTGGCCACCAATGAATTCTGATAAATTAACTCTACATAAATTGGTTTTGTCCAAAGCAAACGTTGAGAAAAATTGGGTCCAATACAAAATTTTAAAAATATTTTGTCATGCCGATAAGTGTTAGGTTAGGTACGTTTAAATGTGATTGTTAAATTAATAGAGTCATGTTATAATGCAGATACTTACCAAAGAGCCGTCCAGAAATTGAAGCTAGCCTTGGAAATGTCTGATATAGATACATCTGATGAATCACTCAAAAAAACAAGGCATTCACGACACCACAAGGTAGCTGATGAATTTGATGAATCTGATGTAGATCACTTCACTCCAAGCTTCATTCCAAACGAAAGAAAAAAGGAAAAAAAACGACGCCCATCTCCTTTAGATTCGGATGAAGATGATGTAGAAGCATGTCCAGAAATGTCATCAAAACTCCCACCATTCCCTTCTTCTGCAAATTTTACCCTTGTGGAAAATAGGAAAAACAATACAGCTGATGATGAAATATTGCCAATACGAAATTCTGTTCCGCAACAATGCATGTCAATGTCAAGGGCTAGTACTCCTTCTTCGGTTACAAATACCCGTGTTTCTATCAGAGGTATACAGTTAATTATTGTATTTTACCCTTAACATGAAGTTATTTTTAGGGACGGATGAAATATTAATGAAATTAAACACACTTCTTTCCATAACAAAAATTATAGAAAACAGGTTAACTCTAATTGAGCGGAGTGTTTCTAATCTACAAGGTGAGGGAAATGCAAAAGCACCGTCTTCAAGTTGCATGGAAGCAAAAGAATTTAACAAAATGTTTCCGTTAACAAGTGAAGTAGATTTATTGAATTTTGAGGAATTTTGAAAGACGATACATTTTTTAATAAAATGGTAAGTAGAAGCTTTTATATTCTACATATATTACAGGGATTATTTGTAGATTGCAACATTATGTACAGTTGGGGGTACCGATGTGCAGAGCATAACTGTTAACATATTAAAAAAAAATCTTAGTAATTCCCTTGCAAATTTATTCTCATTACATGGTAAGAAGAAAAAGAAGATTTTCAAAAGTTTAAATACATGTAATTTAATTGTGGATACTGTACGTAAACAGAAAACTGGAACAACAGAGGTGGAAATCCTAGCAATAATTGGAAGTTGGCTACCTCAATCCAATTTGCGTTTATCACGCGAACAAAGGTAAATTTCAGTTGAATATATCCAACATCATTGTAACAAGGCATTTAGTTTTTTTGATTTTGATATGTGCATTTTGTGCATAAAAATATTCCTACAATTTGATTGCTACCTTCAACAGTATTACTACTTAATTTTTTTAAAGATTGCATTTGTGTTCAATTAACATTATTTGTTAAATTCAGACTGCGGTGTGCATTCATCAGAATTTGTAACCAATGCAATTTTTGTGGTTAATAAGTCCAAATGTCTATTTAATATTTATGAAACGCTGTAGATGTCAGAATTAACTTTGTTAATTTATTCAACCTTCTTAAACATTGTGTTCTTCTCTTTCAGGAAACAAAAAGGATTGGAGCAAGACAACGAATGAATCAATTCCGTTAATGTTCCCAATTTTTATATACTTAAGTACATATATTTTATAATATGTATTAGTATAGAAGGTACATTTTTGTATTTTCTCAATATATGAATATTTCTATTTTGTGTCTAATATATTTCTTAAATGTTTCATGTGTATGTTTCAGAAGCGTAACAAAACATATGAGAAATATTTGCTATGCATGTTTCTGAAATGTTGCATGTTATATTACATTGCAAGAACATTTTGCCATTTATAAATATTTCAACCATGTTTCAGATATCTTTCCAAATATTTCAGAAATATATGATATCTTACAAAGAAATCTATCTGCAATATTATAGAAACAATACCGTGCTGTATGGGTATAACTTTGTGTTACTGCACCGTTTTACACAAGTGAAATGGCATTATCAACAAGTTAGATGTTGCTTGATTCGTACGTTGATGACGCAGGGGCACAGATCCCTGGCAAGGATAGTATATTTATAATCCTTGGCCAAAACATACATAATACAGTTCTTTCAACACCTATTTCTTTACAATGTTTAATTTGTGTGTGGGTTTTAGCCAATCAAGAAAGCTATAGGTTTGTATTATGTGAATACCTTGTATAACAAAAATAGTAATCCGTTAATTGCTTCAGATCTATTGGTGATCGCTTCAATGTCTCAAAGAGCTCCATATTTTCACTGCCTAATAAGAGTATGTAAAATTCTGAACAGCAAAGGTTCTGTATTTATAAAATGGCCAAAAGGAAATGATGCTATTAAAACAATAGCTGGTTTCAAGGTATTTTTTTTTAGTTTCCCTACCTTAGAAGTATTAACATTTTTTCTTTTGTAGAAAATAATAGTACATTATTTTATGTGGAGGAGAAGTATTACTTTTCATGGCGCGCCTGTGTTTAGCCGCCGAACGGAGTGAGGCGGCTAATAGAAGGCAAGCCATGAAAAGTAACTTCTCCTCCAAATAAAATATGCTATTTTTTCTTCAAACTTCCGCAAATTTATCCAAAACACCAGGTTTTTAAGGGATATTAATCGCTTTCGTTAAATTAAACGTCATTGTCAAGTAGGTAAGTTTGTTTTCCTTTACATGAGTGCATATGTGCTGTTTCCTTGGTTACGCAGTAAATAATTTTATTGAGTGAAAAAATTACATGTCAGTTCGTAATTTTGAATAAGAAAGATTTCTCGATAAGAAAGAAGTAAGTTAATTAAATCACTAAAAGATAGTGTAAATTAGTTAGTTTTAGAATGCAATGCACGCCGCCCGAAATTACCGTTGAGGCGAATGAAGCAGTATCGTGCCTCGGACCTTCGAAATCCGGTGAAAAGTATTTAGCTGCATATCAACACTTCATTCAATGGTGTAATGGAAAGAATGTGATCATCTATTCAGAAAATGTACTTCTTGCGTATTTTAATCAGATGCAAAAAGATAAAAAATGGAAATCTTCGACAATGTGGTCTCGTTATTCCATGATCAAATCCGAATTAATTATCAAGCATGGAATAAATATAAGTCAATATTTAAAGCTACGATGTTTTTTGAAAAAGGCCAATGAAGGGTATTCTGCAAAAAAGTCCAGAATATTTACTAAAGAGCAGTTTGAAGGTTTTCTAATGGACGCACCAGATGATGTATATTTAGGAATAAAGGTGAATTTAAATCAGTTTTAATTCTCCCAATGTAATATTATTATGATTCAGATTGTTTTATTAATCGGAGTAACCGGGGCATGCAGATGCGACGAAATGATGAAAATGAATATAGGCGACATTGAAGATATGGAAAATTTAATCCTAATAAAAATTCCCGATAGCAAAACGAAAAAAGTGCGCTCGTTTACCATCATCGGAGAAATGTTCATGAATATTTACCACAAGTACGCTTCATTAAGACCGAGAGATATGCAAGAGAGAAGGTTTTTTTTGAAATATCAGAATGGGAAGTGCTATAAAAATGTTATGGGGATTCATACGATTAGTGCTGTACCCAGAAAAGTCGCCGAATTTCTAAAATTAGGCAATGTCCAAGAATATACGGGTCACTGTTTAAGGCGTACTTCGGCTACATTACTCATCGATGGTGGAGGAACTATGGAGTCGTTGAAGCGCCACGGGGGTTGGAGGTCGACTTCCGTAGCAGAAGGGTACATAGAAGAGTCGATTCGCAACAAAAAAGAAAATGCTAGCCGAATATTAAATTTAAACGAAACTGCGGTAACTGAAACAGGCGCATCAGGAAATCTAATAACGTCGTCTTCGCCGAGATCATCGCCTAAATCGAGAGTAAATACTTTAACAGGGTCTAGTTCATCGTTGCACGGCTTCAATTTTCAGAATGCAACACTTACCAATTGTACATTTAATATTACATTAATGAATAAGTCTGAAAATATATCATAATTTTTTGAATAAATAAATGAAATTGTTGTGTTTCCATAACAACACTTTTCCCTCCGGCGACAGGAAAAGGAAAAGTAAAAACTGCTCTAACGATAATGTCAAACTTTGGCGCCTACTACTCAGTCGAACAATGGCCTAATATTTTGACGTTTGAAGAAAAAATCATTTCCTGGAGTGTTGGGTGCTATAGACGGGTGCCATATTAATATATGTCCACCCAAGCACAATTCTGCCACTTACATCAATAGAAAAGGCAGACCATCTATGATATTACAAGGCGTATGTGACCATAATTGTATATTTACTGACTGATAACGTACATGACATTCTTTATATAAATTGTGAAATCTTATAATGGATTTCAAAGCCCGTATGCACTCAAGAGCACTGGGGGATTGACTAGTTTTCCGTCTGATTTGGGAGAAAACATTTTCTAACGCATCTACCGCGCAATTCAAACAAGGATAGAGATCATAAATAAAGTGCATTTCACGCGTTCGACGTACGCTATTAATGGATTCAATGCGGTGAAAAGAGAACACCGATGAAAATAAGGTGGCTCCTGTTTCTCATGTTTATAAAATTGGATACTCATTTGACATTACACTGTTTTGATTATTAGTTTAATTAGAGTAAGGCAATTTCTTGGATATTTACAAATTAGGCGCAGATTAAGATATTTTGCCGACCATTAATTGCGCTTTACAAATTCGTCAGATAATTCACAGCATAACAAAACTTCGTAATGTCAATAAGATTTTTAGCGCCGCTGCCGCCATCTCTGAGCATACATTATCATTCAAGGATATCATAGGGTGAATCGCCCAGTTAGCCGGCCACCACCCGTTCTCGGCCACTTTAGGAGAATTAGGGAATAAATTAGTACAAACTTTTGTTTCGATCCGCGATTTTTACAGATCCTACTCAACACTCCTTTCCCCACCACTTTACGGATCACGCCATTTTTTTAAGCACATGTCACCATAAAAAATGGCAGTTAAAAGTTGGCTCTTGTGAAACGTGCGTGCCTGCGGCTGTTTACTGCAGATTTGCTAGGGTACATCTCATAAGGGAATAGTGATTATTTTGTGTAATACTGATTATAAAGGTAAGTGTTATTAAATTTTAGATAAATAATATGTCGATGTACTATTATATTTAAGAAAATAATGATAATTCATAAGTACTAATTATTTTATGGGGTGGCCGGTAAACTGGCTTAACCAAAACGCTCAATCCACTTCTCGGCCAGGGTGGCCGAGAACAGGTCGTAGAGCATGATATTGTTTATCTTTTTTTGTCTTACTGGTTCATAATAATTCGTATCCTTTTCTCTGGCATACTTAGGACAGTTAGTACCACAAAATAGCCAGTTTTCGGCCGGACTATCTAAAAAAGCGCGGGAAATAAAGATGTTTAAAAGAGCGGCCGAGAAAAGGTATCTTGGCCTTTTTTCGGCCATTACCTTTAACTTATATTGGTTTTATGTGCTTTTTACCTGATTTCGTATTAACCTTCGTGCTTTTTTAAGATACTTACGAATCTTAAAACTGTAACCCAGCAAACCTGTTACAGCAGTGTTATATACCTTTGGTGTAACAGTGTTATAAAACAGTTGTTACATTACACATACATAACAACAATATAACAAATTAATTCCTAGTTATATAACCTAGTTATATAGCAATTCTTTACAATGTTATATATCATCAATATACCATATATAACATAACAATCATTTGTTACATGCACATTGCAAAAGCATAGCATTGGTGACATTGAATGCGACCGCGCACATTTTATCGTATTTGGTTGGTAGACCGCGGCCGGCGTGACTCGTACTGGTACTTAAGTCATATCAATTGTTTAACTTTTGTGTGTAAGTTTTTGGTTTCAATCGTGTTGAACTCGTTATTTATCTCGGTTGCAAGTTTGTGTGGATAATCGTTCTACTTTTGCAGGTGTTAAAAACGAGGTAGGTAACGTCTAATATTAAATATTATGTAATTATAATTTTGTACATAACCTATATTGTTTTGGTTAACACGAAGTTTTTTGGCGGTTTTTTATGTTTGTTTGTGGCTCTTACACTTCTTAAAACGTGTTATTTTTCAACATGTCGAAAAAAGATGCAGCGCCCCATTTTCATTTATTAAGCAAACGACGACGAAATCAAATCATTAATTTAGAAATTTCAGCATTCAGTGCACAAGGTAGTAAAGTCCAGTTAGATCCAGTTGTTTTGCAAGATCCTAATGAAAAGAATGTTGCACCTAATTGTTCAATTCAACCTGTGAATGATGACATTGTGGAGGATAATCCAAAGCACATGCAAAATGTTATTTTAAATAATGAAATATGTGATGATGTGGATGATATAAACCCTTCTGAAGATGTACCGTTTTCAAGTCCTAAATTGGAAATTTATTCTGACTCCGACGTGCTCTCTGAATCAGAAGTTAACCATTATTCTGAATCTGATCATGAATATACAAATGCTATAGGCGATTCCAAGGGTGATTCTGAAGCTAGTCTCCAAGATGCTCTAGCTCGTTGGACTATAGAAAACAATATCTCCCATGCTGCTGTGAATTCAATGTTGAAGATATTGCACAGGTTTGGTCATTCTAATTTACCTGCCGATGTACGAACATTAATGAAAACACGTAGCGCATCACAGTTTGAAATATGTTCACGTAGCGGTGGCCAATATGTACATTTTGGTATTTTGCCTGGTCTTTTACGGTCAACTGAAGTATATTTTGATAATTTACCAAGTGATTTAAAAATTGACATTAATATTGATGGTCTTCCATTGAGTAAGAGTTCGGGAAGCCAATTTTGGCCAATAATGGCTGCCATCTCTTCTGATAAATTTTATTCAAAACCATTTTTAGTTGGTTGTTATCATGGGAACAATAAACCAACCGACGTCAATGATTATCTACGGCCATTGGTTGATGATGCAAAAGATATTTTACATAATGGTATATTTATTGGCGGGAAAAGAATTTGTGTTAAATTAAATGCGATAATTTGTGATGCCCCAGCGAAATCTTTTATAAGTTGTATTAAAAATCATACAGGATATTTTGGTTGCAGTAAATGCATTCAGGAAGGTGATTTTATAGCCAATCGAGTTACATATCCTGAATTAAACTGTACGTTACGAACGGATGCATCTTTTAGTGCTAAAATTCAAGCAGAACATCATAAAGGGATTTCTTGCTTAGAGGAATTGCAAATAGGGATGGTTTCTCAGATCCCAATTGATTATATGCATTTAGTATGCTTAGGTATTATGAAACGTTTGCTCCAATTTTGGGTAAAAGGAAAAATGAATGTCAGATTAAAAGGTGATGCATTAGACTATGCCTCGAATAAGTTAATTGGAATGAAATCTTGTATTACAACTGAATTTGCTAGAAAACCTAGAGGCTTACATGAAATTGATCGATGGAAGGCAACAGAATTGCGTCAATTTCTCTTGTATACTGGACGAGTTGTACTGAAAGATGTATTGCCACATACTTATTATGAACATTTTATTAGTTTAAGTGTTGCTATAAGAATATTGGCAGATAAAGATTTATGTATTACCTTGAATGATTATGCTCACTCTTTGTTAGTGTGGTTTGTAAGGCACTATGGAACGCTGTATGGTCAGGAATTTTTAACTTATAATGTGCACAATCTCTCGCATATAAGTAATGATGTTAAGATATTTGGTCCATTAGATAATTTTAGTAGTTTTAAATATGAAAATTATATGTATAAAATTAAACAAAAATTAAAACAAAGTGGGCGACCTTTACAACAATTAAGAAATAGAATAAAGGAAGAACAAGAACTGCCGCTTAAAACAGATATATGTAAAAACTATCCAGTTATTCATAAAGATAAAAATAATTGTGTTAACAGTTTAGATTTCAAACATTTTAATATCTCAACAAAGGAAGCGAATAATTGTTGTTTACTTCACGATGGATCTATTGCAATTATTACAAATATTAGTCACGAAAATGGAGATGCTATATTAACTGTAAATCAATATAAACATTTCAAGCCACACTATGAATCGCCTTGTGATTCTAGAAAAGTGGGAATATCTATAATCGATAAAAGTAGAATGACACAAACTGTAAAAATATCGGCAAACACAATTAGAAAGAAGTGTATTATTATAAATAATGTATTTGAAAAAAACTTTGACAAAAATGAGTACATTGTGATTCCACAAATTCATTGCAAAGAATAATTCCCGTCCAAATATATGTTGTACATATAGTGAGAAATACCTACTTTAATACATTTTTAGTTAATTATAACAATATACTATTAGGTATGATTTTGTGACAGTCAAAAAAGTTAGTTTTTCAAAAAATCTTGCCTTTTCAGGTTTTTTAACATGTCATATGCGGTGGTAACATTCACCAACGAAGGATTGGGAGTTACATCCACGTCGGAAGTCCCCACTAATTGGCTGCTTAATGACAACAAACAATGTTGGTGGCCTTCGCTGAGCAAAAACATTAGCTCCTTAATTGCTAAAAGAGCCCAACCAACTGATGTATGGAGTAAAGAAGATGTAGTGGTTGAAACACTTGGGCGTAAGTATATCTGTGTTAGTACAAAATTTGAAAATTTATTTAATAATTTTTACGCAGTATCACTTGAGACGGCTCGAAAAAAAGCAGAAGATCTAGATTACACATCCTCAGAAGAGGCCAACACTGGCAGAGGTAAAAGGAAAATAACTCCGAAGCAATTTGAAATTAGTTCTTCGGACAACGAAGTTATTTCTAAAGGTTAGTTACTTATTATTAAAATCTTAATTTAAGACAATTTAAGGCGCAAAAAGAAATGCAGCGATACCTCCGCCTCCTTCTTTCCCTAAGGATTTTCAAGAGAGTTCTTGCAATAGGTATAATACACAGTTTATAAATACATTGCATATGTAACAATTGTTTTGAATTACAGTATATCTTTGTCTGACCCAAATTCAGCTGTATTTACTGCAGTAGCTGAGGTTAATATTCCTACAGGTAAGGTCTGTGGTCTAATATATGGGTTACTAATCTTAGTGTATGATTTATATAGGAATGACGGCAGACAAACCTGATAACATAAATCTACCCGGAGTGCCAGATCAAATGCTCCAAATAGTGCCATTAAGGTAGTTTGCTTATATGTATCAATCGGCCCAGAACTAATCAGAATTTTTGTAGCCAATTTGATATAGAAAACACTCCAGTCGTAATAGCAGATAACACTACACTGTCTAGTACTGTCGACACGAGAGCTGACAAAATAGTCTTGGAAAGCATTATTAAAGGTAATATTTTGAATATATGGTATATAATAATTGTAATGGTATATTATAATTTACTGTAGAGCATTGCCAAAAAATTGAGAGAATGTTTGGTTCGATCAATTTAAATTTAAAAAACATTAACTCCAGACTGGAAAAATTAGAAAAAAATGCTCCCGCCTTGAATGAAGAAGAAGAAGATACGGTTATTCAAGACAATTTGCCATTAAGGACAATTGAGGAAATCAACTCTTTTGAAAATTTAGTAAAGACCAACAGAGAAGCAGCAATTTTATTTGTACGGAAAATGTAATTTTTATGGTAGTTATATATACTATTGTACTGTGTTGTTTTAGAGGAAATATATTTCAAACACTGGTGGGAATTGCCCAAAGGACAATGTTGTGCGACTATTACGGAAAATATTCACAAATGAATGCGCAATGAAGTGTTCGTGGATGGGGCATCGGAATAATTTTGGAGTTTCCAAATTAACCATCATGAGCATTGTAAATGGTAAGTTATATTTGTCTTATGAACCGAACTTCTGCATTTGGTTATTAGCTGTTGTTCTATCAGCATTTCCGCAACTGAAAGAACAAGAGTTTGAAACGTTTTGCGGAGAATGGCTTCGTTTCGCCAAACAAAGATTCACCAGAGAAACCAAAGGCGCAGCAGCGAGAAATAATTAAGATATGGTCGTTTTATAGAATTTTATTTTTAAATAGCGGATTAATGGTTATACAGGGTGGCCGGGTGGCCCATTAGTACGTGGGTGGAAGATTATGGGTTTATTTACGCACATATTTCATTGTCGGGGCATGTTGAAGGACTCTTAAGGCTACAACGTAAAAATATTTTTAACAAAATTGCAACTGTTAGGTATACAGGGTGATTTATATCACAATTGCATTTTTTTAAAATAGAACCCATACCTATTATTACAAAATTTCAATTCGTTGGTCAATTTTAGTGTGACTTTATGTATCACACAGGATATCTAAAATCAGTTATTGTTTAACCGCAATTCGTGATTTTTTCAAAAAGAACTACCCTTTTTTTTTATTGCATAAAGAGTAGAATTTGATTACTTTTCTAATGATATAAGCATGTTGGTATTTATCTTTTACATGTTTTATTGTAATATTAAGTGCATTTCAAGATAATGGTTTTTTTTATTTAGACGTTTTATTTTGGTTTTTGAGTTTTTATTTTGTTTTGTTTGGGGTAAATGTTTTTATAATTTGAATTGGTGTTTATAATTTTTAACGGCCTATTAATTACCGAGAGGCTTTGCAAATGGAAAAGCACTGTGGATTATTAGAAACTGATGAATTACAAGACATATGTAAAAGGCTGAATACCGACATGCTCATACTGTTAGAAAAGTACTCAAATCCTACACCTTATGCAATAAAACAAACTTGGTAGTTCCGTTTGAAAAAACCAAGTTACCTTTGACTCAAATTTTGAAAATTGGCTGAGCGATTCCTGTTAACACACAAAAAAGTTTAACTTCGACCGTTCGCCGTTGGTTAGTACATTTGCAACTTTGATATAACTCACCCTGTATAACAATTGCAATTTTGTTGAAAATATTTTTAGTTTGTAGCCGTAAAAGTCCATCATCATGCTCCAACAATGAATTTCAAATGTGTCCTTTAAGAAACCCACAATCCTCCAACCACGCACTAATGGGCCATACTGTATAGCTTATACTTAGAATTTAGGAACATTTTTTTAATTAGATAATATAAACATGTATTCAAATTGTACTTATCTTTCGATTTTGGTTTGTTTATTTTGAAATAAATACCGTTTACTGCAAAAGTTTTTATTAATACAATTTTTTACAGATTATTTGAGTAGTGGAAAATATGGGTTACCCTGTATAGCAAATGCGACTGTATAATGCTATGTGCTTGTTACATAGAAGTTATACAGCTGCAATGTATTGGTACACAAAGTTATAAACCTGTTACATTGCAACAAAGTAACAGTAATAAACCCGTTACATTGCAACAATGTTGATGTTTTATCACATGTGATTTATCTGTTATATATTGGTTATGTTGTGCTGAGTGGGAAATTACAATTTACTAGCAACTTACATGTTATCTGCTTGTTATATAACATGTTACTAATAAAGTAACACATTTATATTGCATTTATAAAACTGTTATGTAGCGAGGTTTGTTGGGAAATTACAATTTTACATAAAATGCTTACCTACTAGGTAAATAATGTTTTTCAGATGGCCACAGTCAAAGGCAAAAAATTTCCGATGCAGGCAAGAAAGTTATTCAGCTACTCTGAAGAAAACCTTAAGCTTGCACTGCATGCTGTTAGAGAGGGCCAAATGTCCATAAGAAGTGCTGCAAAAGAGTTTAATGTACCAAGGTCTACTCTCCAAGACAGGGTGTCGGGGAAAACACCAGACCGATTGCGTAAAACGGGTCCAGAACCAATTATGACTATCGAAGGAGAAAAACGCATCAGCAATTGGGTCATTGGTCTTGCCAAGTGTGGATTCCCAATAAAAAAGCATGAACTAATGGAAACAGTAACGAAAATAGCAAGTGTAACATAGTGTACAAGTTAGGTACATGCGCCACTACCGGACGTCAACCTACAGACGACATCGGTTCAATCAATAATAAAGATGTTTAATAGAATTACCTTTATTATAATTTCAGCAGCCTAAGCTCCGAATATAACATGGTGTCAGGTGTAAACCGTAAGAAATATTAAAAAGTAAGAAAGAAGGCATCTAATAATAACAAGTAGTAAAGTACTGAAAATTTAATAAGAAGAAAAGTAAGGTTAAGCACGTGAAAATGGAATCGTCTTTCAAGCCACCTCCGAATTTGGTGTTTGACCAACAATTAAACAAGAATTTTGAGAAGTTTAAGAATGCTTTTGATATATACATGGAAGCATCAGGTTTAAGTACTGCCGAAGAAAAAAGAAAAATTGCGATATTTCTCAATGTAGCGGGAGAAGAAGCACAAGAAGTATACACAACGCTAGGTCTCACTAATGAACAAAAGGCAAAGTATGATGAAGTAATTAAAGCTTTTCAAGAGTACTGTAAACCGAGAAATAATGAAACGTATGATAGGTTTAAATTCTTCTCGAGGAACAAGAATACGGAAGAAACATACGACAGTTTCATAAAAGACTTGAAAGTTTTAGCGAAGCCCTGTAATTTTGGAGATCAGGAGGACTCACTAATACGGGACAGATTGATTTTAGGTATCACTGATGTAGTGCTGCAGGAGAGGTTACTACGGCAAACAAAACTAACTTTGAAGGATGCGGAGCAGCACTGCAGGCTCACCGAAGTTACCAGAAGGCAAGTTGAAGGCCTAAAAGAAGAGCATGCCAAGGTAGACATCATAAGAAAAGGAAAGAGAGATCAACTCGCAGCAACAGGTGGCAAGACAACAAAAACACCAGGTAATACGTATGATTGTCGTAAATGTGGGAGAAATCATCAAATAGCACAATGCTTTGCGTATGGACAAACGTGTCACAATTGTAATGGACTGAATCATTTTGCAATTGGGTGTAAATTTAAAAATTGGAATAAGAATAAGTTTATGCATGGAAAGAATGTTAGTAGTAAGAAAAACAAAATCAATAATTTAGAAGTAGCGGGTGTAGAGGACGATGATGATGATGACGATTGTTATATTGATTTAATTAGTTTAGATAAAATAGGGTGTGAAAGTAGCATTAAGCTATGGAAGGAAAATGTAACAATTAACGGTATTAAAATTTCTTTCAAATTAGACACGGGCGCACAGTGCAATGTGTTGCCTTTAAAATGGTTAGAGAAAGTACAAAAACAAAAAGAGTTAAAAGAAATAAATCAGACAATAATAACATATGGTAATAATAGAATAAAAGTAAAAGGATATGTAATTTTGAATTGCAAGTTAAGGAATACAGAGTATAAATTAAAATTTATTGTGGTAGATGTAGAAAGTGATCCAATTTTGGGATTAAATGCATGTGTAAAACTAAATTTAGTTGCAAGGCTTGATTCTGTCAGTCAGTTAAAAGAAAATGGGAGTAATGGAAGGGACCCAAAAGAAAAGTTAAAATTTGCATTTATAAATGAAAATAAAAATTTGTTTGAAGGTTTAGGTAAAATACCCATGGAACATAGAATTAAATTAAAAAATAATTATGTGCCATTTGTAAGCGTTTGTAGAAGGGTGCCAGACTCGCTAAAAGAAAAATTAAAAACGACTTTAGAGGAGCTGGTACAAAAAGGTATCATAGAAAAAGTAGAAGGTCCGTCTGAGTGGGTGAATAATATTGTAATCATAGAAAAACCAAATGGAAAGTTGCGGATTTGTTTGGATCCACAACAGTTAAATAAAAATATTTGTTTAGAACAATATCCTATACCCACTATTGACGAAATTGGAGTAAAATTAAAAAACAAAAGGGTTTTCAGTGTAGTAGACATGAAAGATGGATTCTATCAAATACCAATTGATAAGGAAAGCAGTAATTTATGCACGTTCATTAGCCCATTTGGTAAATTTAAATTTTTGAGGTTACCATTTGGATTATCAATAAGCCCTGAGGTATTTCAAAAAATTAATGAAAAAATTTTTCAAAATCTTGGAATAGGAATTTATTTTGATGACTGCATAATTGCTGGTAGGGATGAAAAAGAACATGATGAGTTAATGAACAAGTTTATAGAACGGGCAAAACAGTACAACATTAAATTTAATCCTGATAAATTACAATATAAGGTCAGTAAAGTCAAGTATTTAGGGCAGGAGTTTTCTCATGAAGGTGTAAAACCAGACCCTGATTATATTGAAGCGATCACATGTTTAAGTGAGCCGTCAAATAAGAAGGATTTATTAAAGATATTAGGTATGGTAAATTATTTGAGTAAATTTGTACCCAAATTATCAGAACTTTGTGGTCCTCTAAGAAAATTAATAAAAAATGATGTTGAGTTCATATGGGGTAATGAACAGAGAGAAACATTTAACAAATTAAAATTGAGCATTATTAATATTCCAACACTTAAAATATTTGATTCAAAGGAACCCATAGTAGTACAAACAGATGCAAGCCAGTATGGCATGGGTGGTGCTTTGTTGCAGGGAGGTAAACCAGTAGCATTCTGTTCTAGAAGTCTAACCGAAACTGAGACAAGATATGCTCAAATAGAAAAAGAGTATTTGGCCATTTGTTATAGTTTAAATAAATTTCATCAATTTATTTATGGAAAGCGAATAACAGTAAATTCAGATCACAAACCTTTAGTTGCAATACAGGAAAAAGATATAAATAAAATAACATCTAGATTGCAAAGAATGAGACTAAAAACACTAAAATATAATTTCAAAATAGAATACTTACCAGGAAAACAAATGTTTATTGCAGATCTATTGTCTAGATTTTATATAAATAAGAATACGATGGATGATCCTGAAATGTTAGAAGTAGTTCATTGTGTTGAAATGGAATTACCAATCTCAAGAGATAGGTTAGAGGAGATTATAAACAAAACAGAAACTGATCATACATTAAAAATAGTCAAGCAATTTTGTGAAAGTGGGTGGCCAAACCACAAAAGTCAATTTAACAATGCAGAGTTGAAACATTATTTTAAAATTAAAAATGAGTTAGTAACCAAAAATGGTATTATTTTCTATAATAATAAACTAGTTGTTCCAGAATCCTTAAGAAAATATATGTTACAACAACTGCACAAGGTTCATTTTGGGATAGAAAAAACAAAAAGGCGGGGTAGGAAACTTTTCTATTGGCCTAGACTTTCGTCAGACATAGAAAATTTTGTAACTAACTGTGGAGTTTGTAAAAAGTTTAGTAGGGCAAACGTTAAAGAGCCACTAATCCCTCATGAAGCTCCAGAATTACCTTTTGAAAAAGTAGGCTCAGATATATTAGAATTTAATCGAAATTCATATTTAGTGGTAGTTGACTATTATAGCAAGTGGATCGAACTGAAAAAATTAAATAACAAAACTGTTAAGGAAGTCATTACCAAACTGAAAGAAATTTTCTCTACCTTTGGAGTTCCATCCAAATTTGTATCAGATAATAATCCATATAATAGTTTAGAGTTTAAAAAATTTGCAAAAGAAATCAATATGGAACTAAGTTTTGCTAGTCCGAGGTATCCAAAATCTAATGGACTTGCAGAAAAAGCTGTAGGAATATGCAAAAACATGTTAAAAAAATGTGAAGAAACAAACTCTGAAATTTTTGGTCATCTGCTGGAGTATAGGGCAACCCCACTGTCTGGTTTAGATGAGTCGCCAGCAGAATTATTGAATAGCAGAATGTTACGTACAACATTACCAATTACTAAAACTCAATTAAAACCTAAAGTAGTTAACATAAATACAGAGGCAGTAAAGCAAAGACAAAAGAAAGCAAAGTTGTACTATGATCGGAATGCAAAAGCTCGTCCCGAGTTTAAAAACAATGAGCATGTCTATATAAAGAATGATCAAAATTCAAATTGGAGAACTGGAAAAATTATTAGTAAAGGTAGCACTCCCAGGTCATATGTAGTGTGCGATGAAAAAGGGTCAGTACTAAAACGAAATTCATGGTTTTTGAAAAAAGCGGGCACAGCTTCAATAACAAATCGAAGGTCAACTATTGATAGTAACATTGACATAGATGAGACAAACAGTACAGAGCAGGGTAGTGATAAGGTAGAAAATAGCGTAGATGATAAGGTAGAAAATAGTGTAGCTGTAGATGGTAAGGTGGAAAATCAAAGTGAAGGTGACAATAGTGATGGTGGAAGTGATAAATGCAAAAATCGTGAGGTAAACTCGGAACCAAGTACAAAACGATTAAAAAGAGAAATCAAAATGCCTATTAGATATAAGGATTATGTATAGGTTAAGTAAATTAGCATTAGTTTAAATTTGTAATCGAAGTTATCTTGTTGAAAGGGAGATGTAACATAGTGTACAAGTTAGGTACATGCGCCACTACCGGACGTCAACCTACAGACGACATCGGTTCAATCAATAATAAAGATGTTTAATAGAATTACCTTTATTATAATTTCAGCAGCCTAAGCTCCGAATATAACAGCAAGAGACAACGGAAAAATTGAAAAATTCAAAAACGAGAGACCTGGAGAGAAATGGTATGCTGGTTTCACCAAAAGGCATCCAGAAATTCGGTTACGTGAATCTGAGAGTATAAACAAGGCAAGGGCAATTATCACAGAAGAATATATTAGGTCATGGTTTACAGAATTAGAAATATTCTTAACAGAAAACAACATTTTGGACATTATGGAGGACCCTTCCCGCATATTTAACGGTGACGAATCCGGATTTTCACTGTGTCCAAAAACAGGAAAAGTCCTTGCTCCTCGCGGATTTAAAAATGTTTATTCCATTAAACAAGGCAACGAAAAGGAAGCCTTAACAGTACTAGTAACATTTAATGCCCGTGGTAACATTTGTCCTCCACTTGTTGTTTTTCCGTACGTCAGACCTCCAAAAACATTGATAAATAATATGCCAGAGAATTGGGTGTTAGGAAAATCCGACAGTGGGTGGATGAAAAGCGATGTCTTTTTCGAATATATTTGCAACGATTTTAACAAGTGGCTTACGGACAACAATATTAAGAGGCCTATAATATTATTTGTTGATGGACACAGATCACACCTTAATATATTCCTAAGTGAATTTTGTGACAAAAATGGAATAATTTTGTATGCCCTTCCTCCAAATACCACTCACATCCTACAGCCAGCGGATGTTAGTGTATTTCGGCCACTAAAACATGAATGGAAGAAGACTGTCAGGCAATGGCAAAGTGAACAAGACGTTAATACCGCTGTGACAAAAATAAATTTTTGTCAAGTATTTGAGCAGACGTTAAATAAAGTAGATATGGAACCATGTATTACTAATGGCTTTCGAAAATGCGGCTTGTTTCCTTTAGATCCAAACAATGTTGACTACACTAAATGCGTTAAAAATGAATTAGAAAGAAAACGCCATGACGTAGAGCCCGTAGAGAAAATAAGCTATGAGGACACTGAAGCAGCAAAAAAAGTGATTAAAACTTTAGAAAGAAAACTAAAAAATAGTGGTATTGATACAGACATAATTTATAAAGCAATAAATAATTTGTCATTTGATGCTAGTAATTGCGGAGGTGCTAGACAAGAAAAAAAAATACATGTTATAAGCAACATTACCATCAATAAGCAGGATACGATTCCGGATAATTTAAATAATACCTTTCTTTTGGAAATAGGAACCTTAGTACCCATGGAGTCACTGAATATTATTCCTATTGATGAAATAGATGTTATAGCATTAGATAATGTCCCCATAAATGAGCTATTTGAAGAACCACGACAGCCAGGAATACAAAATGTTGATAAACATGTGTGAAAACAAAGAAAACATTAATTTTGATGAGAAGGTTGTGGAAAATAAAGAAGTTTAAAGACAAAAACGAAAATATGGATCTCGATAATCAAAACGAGGAAGATAACGCCGAAGAAATGGATGAAAATAAAATTTACTCGAAAAATGGCAAAAAAGAACAATCAGAAAAGGAAAATACTACTAAAACTGAAACAACGGAAGTTGGATATAAAATAGAAGAAGAAAATCAGATATTTGTGAAAAAAAATACCGATCAAGTTATTGAAATTGAAGATAACACCACAGAGAAAAATGAATCAATAAACGATAAATCGGAACAGGCAATACAAAATGAGGGGCGAGTTGATAAAACGGAAATGACGAGAGAAATTAAAAACATGGAAATAAATAAAGAAAACAATTCAACAATAAAAGTGGAGACATTTTATAAAAAGAAGTCGGAAGTAAAATCTCCATTAAAGACCGTACAAATTGAAGCTGAAAGTAATCACTCACCACCAAAATGGCCTGAAGAAAATTCTCCTATAAAAACTGTGGAGGTCGAAGAAGTGTTAACCCCATTTTCTCGTCATCTAAGATTTCCTGAACCTATAAAAAAAGGTTCAGAAAATAAAAAAAAAGAGAAATTGCCAAGTGCTATCTCGTCCAACGCTTGGCGAAAACATATTGAAAAGCAAGAGAAAGGAAGACTAAATAAACAGGAAGCTCAGCAGAAGAAAAAAGATGAAAGACTGGAAAAACAGAATTAAAAAAATGCAAAAAAAGATATAAAACAGTCAAAAAAAAATGCAGCAAAGAAATTAAAATTGATGTGTTCTCTTTGCGAAGATGAATTGGTAAGTGACACAGAAGATGATTCTTTAAAAAACCTGGGATGTGATGCATGCCCTAAGTGGTTTCATTTAGCTTGTACTGAGTTATCTAATTTATCATACAATGAAGCTTCAACTAGAGATTTCTTGTGTAGTTCCTGCAAATAAGTTTTAATGAGTACAAATTATTTACTCCTCTTTTTAAGGATATCTATTTATGTTTATTTTTAAGGTTTTTTTATTAGTTACTTATATTAAAATAGGCAACTTGGAATATTTTTGTTTTATTTATCTACTTAAATATTTTGATTAGAATCTACTACTGACTGCAATAAAATTAATTTTTTTGATTATCTGTACCTAGGCACCCATTTTCCATTCATTTCTCCTTTTATTTTAATGCTTAAACAACACGGCCGAAAAATGGGATTTATCGGCCACCCATGCCGAGAACTGGCATAGTCTTGGCCGAGAAAATAATCAAGTGACCGAGAACTGGCAATAAGGACATTTTTTAGGATTTTATTAACAAAAAAAAACTTAAATAGATTTGACATTTTTGAATGATTAAATTTAATTAAGTAAACTACGTGCTATCCAATAAAATAATCAAAATTGGATTTCAATCATTCTGCAATTTTTAAACGTCGGTTTAAGGTGAAAATTCAGTTAAGTGGCCGAGAACTGGGCGATTCACCCTACATATAATTATTACGGACATAATTTGACTAGCTTTTTTCATATTGACCCGTCTTACACGAGCAAATATGTCCCTATTTCTGAATTTAATTGTGTTGGAAAGAATATGGTGCGTGTAATACACCGATTATAACCATAAAAAAAATTTTGTCCATAAAAATAGAACGTGTTCTATTTTTGTGTGCATAATATGCGCAAACAGCATGCGCAAACTGTGATCCTAGGATATTGTTTATCAAAGTAATTGAAAATTGAAATTCATTAAAAAGAAAATAGAGTATTTGTTTGTCTTCAGGTCTGTAGTCAATTAATCGAAGTATCTACCTAGTTGTAATTTGAATATAATTTTAAAGTATGGAATTTGACGAATACACATTGTATAGTATTGCATCAGTGGCAATTTATACAAATATGCTAGCCCTAAAGTTCAATACACGTCGCAGGCGAAGAGTTTGGTCAAAAAAATGGCATGAAAGAAGGAATATGGGAATGGGGATATTACATATGTTAAATGACGAGCTACTACAAGAAGACTCTGCAGCATATAAAAACTTTTTACGGTTAACTAACCACCAATTTGAAAAACTGTTGCGATTGGTAGAACCACATATCAGTCGCCAAGATACTGTTATGAGGCAATGTGTTTCAGCGAGAAGCAGGTAAAGAAAATGCTGATTGAAAGTGGTATATATTTTAGACATGTTATTCAGGCTTGAACTTACGCTTCGCTTTCTTGCAACCGGAGAGTCTTACCGTTCGTTGATGTATTCTAGTAGGATAGGGTAATCGACCTAGTAATGGACACAGACCTAGTAATGGACACTTTTCCCCTTAAAAATTTGAAAATAGGCATTGTGTGGTACTAACGCTGTAGATGGGTAGGTCAAATAATCAGTAGGTCCTTTGGTCGCATGCAGGTTCAACAGCTGCGGCTAAGTTCACTCTTATTGATCTTTTAAACGAACTATTGTGGCGGCGTGGGTTATGTGATGAGGTTTTTTGACATACTAAATTAAAGTGTCGTTAGCGTCTACTGTGCGTTTATTGAAACGTTGTAGTTATTTTTCCCACGCCAGGTAGGTTACTAATATTAGCAGTATTGATTTCTTAATTAATTTATGGTCATATAATTGATGGTACATGTCATTCCGCTTTTAGAAGGGGGTGACCATTACTAATACACTGTTTTACTTCGAGGGCTAGTGGTGGTCATAGGGTGTGACCATTTTTGAGACATAATGTTTCAGTAATGGGCACAATTTAGTTTACCCTTCTGTAAAAGATAGACTGCTTGGAACGTACTTTCCTAAATTTTAATGGATCTTAAAAGGTTTCTTACATGAATTAAATTTTTATAGAATGGGGAAAACAAAGAAAAAAGAAAAAAGAACTTTTTTTTCATACTCAGAAGAGAACATGATTATGGCAATTGAGGCAGTGACAAAGAATGGAATTAACAAAAAGGCTGCAGCTCGTGAGTTTAAGGTTCCTCGCAGCACTTTGGTACGAAGGTTAGCGTTAGCAACTCCTTACAGCAGAAAAATGGGCCCAGCTACAGAAATTCCCGAAGCAGAAGAGAAAATTATCGAAAACTGGGTGTTGGCAATGGCCAGGAAAGGATTTCCAGTTCACCGACAAAATCTCATCTTATCAGTGAAAAAAATGGTCGAGGATATGGGAAAGGAAACCAAATATTTTCTAAATGGAACACCTGGAAGATCATGGTTTAGGGGTTTTTTGAAACGTCACCCTAAGATAAAGGAAAAATATGCTGAAGCTGTAAGCAAGGCTCGTGCTGCTGTCACTCAGGACCGAATTGAAGGATGGTTTGAGGAAATATTGACCTTCTTACAAACCGAAAATTATATGAATATACTGGACGATCCCAGCCGTATATTTAATGGAGACGAGGCAGGTTTCTGTTTATGCCCAAAGAATGGAAAAGTCCTTGGACCAACAGAAAATAAAGAGGATTTTTATGTGAGAGTATCATCGGAAAAAGAACAAATTACTGTCATGGCTACATTCTCAGCAGATGGGAAATATGTTCCCCCAATGCTAATTTTCCCTTATAAGCGTGTTCCCCATATTATAGCCGAATCAGTACCAGAGAACTGGGCTCTGGGAAGGTCCGACTCAGGATGGATGACCTCTGCCGTTTTTTACGAATATATATCCAATCACTTCTTGCCATACATACAAACCAATAATATCCAAAAACCAGTCATATTATTTGTTGATGGGCATCGATCACATTTAACTAAACACGTAAGTCAGTTGTGTGATGAAAATGGGGTTATTTTGATATCATTGTTCCCTAATACAACTCACATCATGCAGCCAGCAGACGTAGCTGTGTTTAAACCACTAAAATCAGGTTGGGCTACAGAGGTCAGAAAATGGAAATATGAGAATTTTCCGAAGGATGTGACGCGTAGTACTTTTGGGACTATTCTGAAATCCGTTTTTGATAAATATGCCTCTCACAAAACTATTCAGAACGGTTTTAGGAAAAGTGGACTTTTTCCATTTGATAAAAATAATGTAGACTATTCCAAGTGTATACCAAATAGAAAAATATTTCAGGAAAGTGTCAATTCAACCGTTGATGACAATCCAACATCAGCGAAGTTGCTAGCAATATTGGAAAGTAAGATTGAAAATAGGGAACTGGAGCAGTTTAGAGAAACTCTTACAAAAAATGAGGACTGGTCTGGAGATATAAGTTACCAAAAGTTGTATGCAGTCTGGGCAACCATTAAGGCTGAATCTGGAAATACTTCAATGAAGTCCCAATGTATTGAGACCAATGGAGTCGTGGAAATAGAACAAAATCCTTCCAACCCAACTGAAATTATTTTAGAGGATGTGCATAACATGTCTCCTGAACCAGGCCCATCAACGCGCCCGGACTGGCAAACTCCTTTGCAAAGAGAACTGCTTTATTATGAAGAAAAGGAAAAAGAAGGGTTCAAAGTTCCAACGCCATTCAAGAGATGCTTAGTATATCCAAAAACCCCAGATCAAAAAACTTTGAAAACACCAAAGCGCAGAATAAAGATTTTTCCTGCTGTTGTTTCAAGTGGAAAGTATAGAGACTTTTACAATAATGAAGTTAACAAGAAGGCTGGTAAAGAACGTTCCAAATCTGTAAAAAAATCTAGTGCTGCATGCAAAGAAAGTTCGTCCGAGTCAGACATGGATGTGCCCTACGAAGATGAAGACCTTGATCTGAGTGAAGCCGAAAATGTGACACTAGAAAAGGATCGACATGTTATAGTTAAATATGAGGAGCAGTACTATCCAGGTAACCAAAAATTCATAATTTTTGCACCAGTAGGTACTTAACTCTTTCTGTATAGGAATAGTTCTGAAACATGATCCGGAGGGCGCAGAAGTTCGAACTATGGTCAGTGCTGGAGTTCAATCCTGGAAATGGCCTACAAAAGAGGATGTTTTATACTATTTTATGGATAGTATTATATGCAACATTCATAATCCTAAATTGAAAAACAATAGAGGCCACTATAGTGTGCCCGAAATGAATAAATATGAATAAAATATATTTTTGAAACATGTGTCCATTACTAGTCCATTGCATGTCCATTACTGCTCACTGTATGCCCATTACTAGTGTATTACGGAAATTTGTCAAATAATTTTTATAAAATATGTGTGTCCCATTGTCAGTAATTGGGGCCATGTTTATTGAAATCTTCATAAAAAGACCGTTCCATAGGTCCATCTATGATATGGTTAACATCAATAAAGCGGTACTTATGAGCGTTCAAAGTTGTAATTTCCTTATGGGTGTCCATTACTGAGCCTGATACCCTACATGAATCAACCATTTCTCTATTCATTCCTGAAGTTTGTGAAGTCATATTTAATGTTTTAAAAGATGAGTTTTTAATGGTAAAGTTTTATTTGATCAATTCTCTATATATATCTCTTCTACATTACAGACTCCATCTACTCCCGAAAGTTGGCAATCAATTGCTGATCAGTTTATGGAACTATGGCAATTTCCTCAATGTGTAGGGGCGCTTGACGGACGTCATATTACATTTAGATCTCCAAAATCGGCTGGATCATTTTACCACAATTACAAAGGGGATCATTCACTAGTATTATTGGCAATGGCCGATGCGTGCTGCAAATTTACATACATTAACATTGGTGTTAATGGTAGAATAAGTGATGGTGGAGTGTTTCGTGATTGTACTCTGTCAAAAGCAATTCAAAACAATTCGTTAAATTTTCCACAATCTCGACCATTACCAGGATCCAGTAACAATGTTCCATATGTGATAGTTGCAGACGACGCATTTCCACTGTCCACAAGAATATTAAAACCTTATCCACAACGAGGTTTATCTCACGACAAGAAGATATTTAACTATCGGTTATCAAGGGCACGACGTATCATTGAACATGCATTTGGTATTCTTGCCAACAGATTTAGAGTATTGTTAAATCCGATATGTCTGTCACCAAATAAAGTAGAAAAAATTACTTTAGCTTGTGTGGCACTACATAACTATTTATGTACAAATAGTGGACAATTTTATACTGATTTTGACGAAGCATCAATTATCACATTGGATACATGGAAACCACAGGGAACAAATCGAACTTCCAGATCAGCATTATCTGTGAGGGATGAATACAAAAATTACTTTTGTTCTCCTACTGGCAGTGTAGAGTGGCAGGATGCAGCAGTTTTAAGACACAATTGTTAATCATACAATTTGAATAAGTGTATATATATGTATATAGGATCACTCAGATTTTATTTGAAATTCTTGGAAATTATATGTACAATATCGCTTTCTATTTTATCTAACAAATCGTCATTCTTGATGCGGCGTAATTTTGGTTCAATGTACTTAAGAAAGACATCAATCCTATCCGCCTTGATAGTGCTAACATCAGGCTTCTTGCGTGCAACTGCATTAGCAATTTCATTTATCGCTCTGCTGGCATCTGCTAAATAGTCGATTTCATTCCCCTTTTTTCTCTTTAGTTGAGATTGTGGTCGGCTGGTTTGTGGCGTCTGTTCAATTACATGCACATTTGAGGCGCCTCCATTGACAGGTTCCTAAAGTACATTTATTTACCGAAACATTATACTTATTGACAAATATAAGGAAATACCTCTTCAGTTTGTGAATCGTCTGGTTCGTCTTCATAAACAACCTCTAATTGTGAAATGTCCGTAAATTCCAACGATTCAATATTACTGTCTGATGAAAGAGAAGGTGAAAGAGGCTTGGGGATGCTATCATAAATGGCTGTCTTTGCAATTGAATGCTCCAAAACAAACAGCATTAAATCATAATACCAAATGGTAGGTATATACACCTTAAAACATACATTTTTAGAACTATACGATTTGTTGCAATGTAGATTTGCATTTACCTGGTCTGTACCGCTTCCACTTTTCATGGAGTTTTCGTGTTTACGATATTCCACTAAGAAATTTTGTCGAAGAGCTGCAAACTTATTTTTTACATCTGCAATCGTTACACCTGCTTTCACTGCCTCCAACTTTGAACAGATGTCTGTTAAGGCAGCATTTCTCGCATGCTTGTTTTTGTATTGTGGGGATTTAACCACATACAAGCAAGGGTGATTTTTGTACACTTCAATGAGCATGGTGACCTGCTCTCTTGACCACGACATTTATTAAAAGATTGTTATTTGCTACCATCACAAGAAATTGCTTATTGCACAAAACCGTTAATAGTGACAGAGAATAGTGAAAACTGAATGTGATATATTATTTTTGGTTATGTAGTATGTACATTGCTGCCATTCAAAAAAATCCCTAGATTTCCAACAGCTGAATACAGAATTTCCCTATATTTTTTATCATAATTATATCCATAGTTTGACAACGTGTAAAGGGCGGTATAGTTCTCGTAAACATAATTTTAAGAACACAAATATACTTCAAATTTTTATCACAATTGTGGCCATAATTATGACTCGTGTAAGACGGGTCTTACACCATAAAATATAAATGATGACGCAGGGGCACAGATCCCTGGCAAGGATTATATGTTTATAATCCTTGTGTTTTGGCGACACTGGAATACGAGTGTCAAAAAGATGTAATGGCTAACGTTGATATGAATAGACGTGTTTTTAGGTGTTGAATTTATTTCGTTCTGTAATAGCACCCCGCTATCTACATTCCAATATGTTATGGGCACAGAAATACTCGAAATAAGAAGTCATAGGCGTGAGATAAATTAGAAGTAAGCTGTTAGAACAAAGTAAGGTTAGAAAAAAAACGATGGATCCCAAGAGTGATTTGCAATATATGCTGGAGTACGTTCAGAAACCAGATAGGAGTTACGCTGATCGTTCAGAAAGTGTAGTGTGATCACCTTGTACAACACTACCCTTTGTTCAGAAACGCTTGCAAGTCGCCTCAGTGTAACTCTGGAGTGACCTTTCATTACCTCGCTTTTTGGCGCGGTAATAATCACCTGTCATGCGCATTTCATAATTAACTGTCAAATGTCAACAATCGTTGTCCAAATTATTTTATTTTCAGTAAAGTAAATTATTAAATTAATAATGGAAAATGCGTATGTGCCAGTAGTTAACGAAAATGGTTTATATATTATTGAAAATGAAAATGTTGTTTTGCAAAATACTCAAAGTAAGTAGGTACATTATTTTATATATCGATTCCTATTTTAATCCTATCAGGTGGAGAGTTACTGTATCATTCAATTAATGCAGATTTGCAATCAATATTTGGCATTGAATATTATGAGGAATTACAAAAGCAACTTGCCGATCTTGGACTTCCTTCACCAAACGGGACGAGTACGCCGATGGGAACCAAAGTTTCGTGGAGTCACGAGATGACATTAAAGCTCATTCATTTTTTAAAACTTCACCAAGAAGATTTTAAATCGACCACCATAAAAAATGATGCAGTATATGCGCTAATGAAGGATGAAATGAAGAATGATGGTGGGAACTTTACTACATCCCAGATTAAAGATAAAGTAAAATATTTAAAAATGAGGTATATGAAGAAGAAAGATAATATGAAAGCGACTAGTAGTGGTGCTGCCGCTATACAATTTACTTATTACGAAGAGATGGATGATATTTACGGAAAAAAACCAAACGTTGAGCCCATTGCAGTAGCATCCTCTCTAAGAGGACGCAACTTGGAAGGTAAGGATCTTTTTCTCTCATTATAAGTAAATTTGATTATATTATTATACTTAGACAAAAAGGAAGACAGTGATGACGTTCGATCTCGATCATCTAGTCCGCCTGTTACGGAAACTGCATCAACAACTTCAAGTATCTCTCCAACACCATCAGTTTCCAGGAAAAGGCGTTTCACAGAAGATGATATTGAAAGGCGGCATAAAGAGAGGCTGAGTTTACTTCGAGAGTTGCAGCAAAAATCCATTGAAAATTTCAACATGCAGATGAATAAACTTTTAGACAAATTGTAGGATTATGACAGTAAAATACCGTACACATCCTGTAGAATGTAGTGTATTTTTTCAATATGTAAGAATATGTATTAAGTTCGTAACAGTTTATGTTTATTATTAATGATTAAGTGTTTCATAAAGATATTACAAAATATTTACAAGTATTTAGTCCATAACATCAAATAATCTTTGACACAACTGATCACGTTTATGAGTTCCATTCTCATGAAATAAATTTCCTCGGCCATTATGTTCACGTTCCAAATTCCCTCTTACAAATTGGATACCCTCATTTATAAACTCCTCTACCAATAAATCTTCCGATTCTATACATAAATTGTGCACAACACAACATGCGACAACAGTTGCAGGAATCAAATCTTGTCTATTCATATCTAAAAATTTAAGTCGCCGTAGTCGTCCAAATAAAAGGCCAAATGCCCTCTCTATACTTTGTCTGGTCTGAGATACTCTCAAATTAAAATTTCTTTTTGCTGCATTCATATTTCCACTGTTGATGTATGGAGGTATGCACCATGACAAACAAGGATATGCCTTATCGCCTAAAATAAACTCTCCATTGGGAAAATATTCCATAACATTTTCAGTAACCGCATTATATATGTCGGAATTGCGGAATATTCGAGTATCGCTTACAGATCCAGGATAACCCACGAATACATCAGTGAATTTTAATGAAGCATTGCAAATTCCTTGCAGTGTAATTGCGTAATGGCATTTTCTGCATATATATACCTCTGGGTCATCTTTGGGGGCTTTTATTGGAATAAACGTTCCATCTACTGCTCCAATAACACCGTCAATGCCTGCAAGATTGGAGAATTTTTCTTTAACTGCTTCTACCTGTTCGCCTGTTGGCCAAACTATAACTTTTGGCGCAATGTTATTCAACGCTTTGATGATACGGAAAAATGACACACTTAAAGAAGACTTTCCCATATTAAATCTTTCTCCTACTGATCTAAAACGAAGTGCTAGTTATATATGAATGTATTCCATATGTAGGTAGGTACCTAAATGAATCTGGGGTTGCCAATAGCCACAGTACAGCAAGTAATTGTCTATCGATGTCTATTAAAGGTCGTCCCACAATGTCTTTTTTCTTTATTTCATTTGCAATAATTGGTAACAACTTGGTATATGTCACATAATTGATACGGAAATGCATTTGAAATTGTTGTTTACTGAGGTTCGGTATTACCCTTTCCATATAATTCTCAATCCTAATCGGCAACTTTCTCCTTTTTGAAGGTACAGGATCTTCTTCGTCTTCAATATCGATAGCTTCAAACACAAATATTTCTAATTCCGATAGGAATTGTTTAAATAATGAGATTGCCAAGCCACAAATAAGCTTCCTTTTGTTCATATTTAAAATTGTTTGTTTTGCTCGAACTTTCTAACCTTACAAAAATAATTGACAGTAGCATCTCACTCCGTGCGTTTCTAAAGTACAGAGTGACATTGGGCACGTGACATCACTCTACACTTACTTCACACCAAAGAACATCACTTGTTTCTGAACGCACTCCTGACATCGTCAAATTTTTCAAATTGGAAGTTTCGAGTAAGCGCCATTCTGGACGAAAAGGGTGTGAAGGAGGTTATAATAAAGAAAACTGACATGGAAGAGTTAAGCGAAAACGAGAAGAAAATTTTCCTGAAGAATGATGCCAAAGCGAAGTCCATTATCATTAGATGTATTAGCGACAAGCACATCGAGTATATCAAAGATGCGAAGACGGCATATGAAATGTTAGAAAACTTAGAAAAAGTACTACAACGGAAAACAGTATTGACGAAACTATACTGCCGCAGAAGCTTGTTACAATTAAAGTGCGATCAAACAAAGGAGCTGCAGGAACATTTCTCAGGGTACGTTCCACTTAAAGACTGCGACGATTGCAACGTCCCAAATTTCGTTCCACTTGACGCCACAAATGTTGTGGTCGATGTCGAAAACGTCATAGTTGACGTCATTAATAGTCGACCGCAAAGCCCGCTTCGCGCGTAAAACAGAGGGGGGTCAGAGTGGTCGTTTGGTTTTTGTTAGGTTATGTTAAATGTTTTGCCTTAGTTTCCTTTCACCAAAATGACTACCCTAAGTTTATATCATGACGGCCAGTTGGTAGAATTAATTGTATCTGCGGAGGATGCGGAGCGTGCACAAAATGGTAAGTTTCTAAAAATTGAGCAAATTGTTTATATATATTTTCAGATATGCAGTTTGCTGCAAAGCTGTTAAACGCAGGATTATCGGAAACCGCTGCGGAAGAAGAATCGATTGTATCCCCTGAAGAAGAATCCATTGTATCCCCTGAAGACGTAGATCGGGGTGACGGAGGTATGTTGCGGAACCATGTTAACAATTACCATCACTAACGTAGCAAGTCTCCTATAGGCATAACTTCTAGTATTCATAACAACCAACATTTCTAGACATTAATTTCTTCGATTTTTCAGGTTCATTATATAGATGGACAACGCCATCAATTTTACTGTTATTGGAGACATATCGGTCATATGAATCCCAATTTACCGATGGCAGGCAACCGCAAAAAAAAGTATGGGACAAGGTTGCAGAGATTTTAAATAATAATGTAACTGGAATGCAGTGTGCCGCAAAACTGAGAAGTTTAAAAAAAACGTATAAATCCATAAAAGATCACAATGCGAAATCTGGCAACGACAAGAGAACTTGGAAATTTTTTGACGTACGTATACCTATAGGTAATTTTTCTTTAAACTCAACTTTTTTGCAGCTTATGGATGAAATATTTTCGAAGCGTGCATGGTGCAATCCGGTTGCGGTTGCGTCCTCCTCAGATACAGATGTCAAACCACAGGATAATACCAGTGGTGAGTTCAAAAGTACCAATGATCACCTTATTTACAATTACAACATAATTTATCTACTTAACTGTTCTTACGTACACGTCTTTCAAATTGTTGTTTAACTATATACCTAATATGTATATTATATCTTATAGCCCCATCAACATCGAAACCAAGTACCAATGTGCTTATGGCCAAAAGATTAAGACAAAAGGACGAGCATGAGGAAGCAAGAGCAAAGCGACATAAGGAGAGGTTAGAAATGGATCACAAGTTTTTAGCAGTTTTGGAAAAGCTAGCAAATAAATAATAAATTCTATTTTATATTATTGATGAAGTCACAGTTTTGTTTATTATTTATAAAATTTATTTAAGTTTGTAAGTATGTATAAAAAGAGTTTTTGTATTTGATTTGAATATTTGAATAATATTATCGTAAAGCATTCATTATTATGTTCCTTTTTGCCACTACAGCATTATTTCTTCCAAATTGATCAATATTTCGGGCATTTCCTTGGGGATCCCCTGGTATGACAACCATTCTTATATCATCTCCACGTAGCAGGCAAATGTTATGAATCACGCAGCACGCTATTATATACTGCGGCATTTGATCCACACGCACCATAGGTAAGCAATGCAGTAAACTTCTCATTCTAGCCTTCAGTAATCCTATACATCTTTCAATTGTAACTCTAGCTGTTGAAAGGTGTCTATTATATTTGTTTTGCAGTTCTGTCCAGATGACCGTTGTCCCGAAAGGGCACAAGGAGATGTTCATGCAACTCGTAGGCTGCATCACCTAACAGGTGGCTATCCATAGGAAATTTTTCTGCATCTTCTACAAAGTTTGCCACATCAGAAAGCCTAAACACCCTCTGGTCATGGACGGAGCCCGGGTGTCCAGTGTAACAGTGCGTTATTAACATGTTAGAATCACAGACCAACTGTAAAAACCACTTAATATTAATAAACATTATTTTCTGGCAATTGTTGCCTACCTGTAATTGTATCGAATGAAAATGTTTACGATTGACATAGTCTGGGGCATTTTCTTGTGGAGCATCGATGCGAATGTGGGTGCCATCGATGGCCCCAATAACTCTTGGGAACCCTGATGATGCCTCAAACTGTTGCATCACTGTGATGGCACGATCTCCCACTGGCCACTGAATCCATCTCGCTGCTCTTTTATGCAGGGAATACGTAACCCTACGTACAGCTCGTAGACCAGTGGCTTTTCCTACATTGAAGCGATCACATACAGACCTGAGACAAATTGATTCATTATACATTAAATATTTTGCTACTGTAAGCTTCTTATCACCTATATGAATCGCTAGTTGCCATTTTCCATAAGGCAATCATCAGCTGCTTTTCAGCCGGAATTGTCGGACAACCATTAACCTTTCTAATTAAATCGCCTCTTATAATATTTACTAGGTATTCAAACGTTGATTTTGACATTCTAGAAATACAATACTCCTATAAATAGCTTTTAATTTATTATTTAATCAAACAGAATGCTTGGCAAATTGCTCACCTAAAATGACTTTTAAATTCGTTGTCTGCATAACGGCCAACGACATCTGCATAATCCGTAATTCGCGGGCGAAGTTTCCGCTTCTTTCTTTGTTGAAAAAATTCTTCATCATCCAGACTTGAACTGGAACTTGATGATATCCGTCGCCGACGAATAATTATGCCAACAACAGCGGCCATCTTGAAACCTAAAACCTCCAAAACCTGTTCCACTTGAAAACTTCGACCACAACGCTTTTTGATTGTGGAACGCATAAAAGAGCGGTCGCGGACGAAATCAGTGCGGGCGCTAAGTGGAACGTACCCTCAGTGTTCGATAAACTTGTGGTGCCCTAGCACCCTAAAACGTAGACAACACATTGTACATATATATAGCGCGGCTAAAGAGAGACCTAGGCCTAGTCTCTCGTGAAGTTAGCAGATGTTATTATATGAAGGAATTCTAACTTCAACACAAGTCCTTGCAACCAGTTTAAATTTCTTAGGTTATAAACTCTATTTGTTAATTTTGTTTTTGTTTTTATAAAAATAAGTTGTCCTGCCAGATTTTATTTAGTAGTAATAGTAGTCGGTGTACTACTCGTAGTCAGGAATTGTTATTGTATTTGTGAACTCACTGTGACTTTTGTAGTGTATGGTTTACGAAACATTTTAATCATGGATGTGAAAAAAACTAGTGTAAGGGTTAACTTTAATTGTAGTATATGTGATAAACATTTTTACGATAAAAGTAATTTAAATCGGCATTTAAAAACGATTCATAGTGTACCTAACCCACCACAAGAGAATCAGATAAATGTAAAAGATGATGGACAAGAAAGTGTTACTAAAGTCCAACAGTGTGATATATGTGGCAAAAACTTCTTTGATATGAGTACATTAAATAGACACTTACAAAAAGTACACAAATTAAATGAAAATAAATGTGTGAAAAACTCTATCCTTTGCTTAGAATGCAACAGCAAATTCTTAAATAAAAAACTTTTAATTGAGCATTTAGTTATTAAGCATAATTTTGAGGACGATTGGTATATGAACATACATTTTGTTCTTTAAAAGGTAATCAGCATATATATTTCAATGCATTTTTCTACATCTACAATTTTCATTTCAGATTTCCAGTCCTGGATACTTAATATTGAACAAGAAAATAAAACACAATATGTCCCAGTCAACCACATGACGTCAGGTGACGGTTTAGTAACGTCGTCTTTCGGTCATCCGTTGATGACGTCACTAAAACTACATTCATTGTACGTCATAAAAGCTGACGTAATTGTGAACACAGCAAAAACGACGTGAAAGAGACGTTATTGTTTAATGGAACGATTATGTAATAATATGCTAAAGTAGAATAATGAAGAGTTTTTCCTTGCAGTCATTTTTATTCCAAACATCCTACATCTACAGAATAATTATGTGCCTTTTTGCCTACATCCAATAAAAGATGAAGTTAAATCAGTATCGGACGTTGCGCATGCGCACAAATAACAAACCGGAAAACGCGAATGTGATCCCTATTTCAGAATATTCAGATTTGTCAAACGTGAAACGAGTCCTTGTAGTTAAGTGGCGAGTGGCTATTTTGTTGTTGGAATTGAACATTTGGACATAGGTAAACAAATTTAGTAAGTTTAAATTGACTTAAAATTTAAAGTTTATTATTACAATTCCTAGATGTTTTCAATCGTGGAATTTGACGACGATGACGGCGTGGCTATTGTAAACACGGCATGGCTGACACCACGTAAACGCGAAACGTACTGGCCGCCGACGAAAGATCGAGAAAAATTTTACAAAATTTTGACTTGCGATCAATCTAATACCAGCAGCTGGAATTTATATAAAATTAAACGTGTATTTTATTACACTGGTATGTACCTACAGACATTTTTTATGTTGCATGTTTCCATTACTTTCATGTATGAAGGTTGTTGACCTGGTCAATATTATTTAATGTGAGAAAAGAAAATGCTAAAAAAGCGAATAGGTACGGATTAGCGACGTCCTTAATATGAAGGAAGGGCTATACCTATTGACTTGAATTTGTTGAATTCAGGTTTGTTTCTACATTAGTCGAAAACCGACAATTGTCGCATTTGCATTTTTTGTGTTCCAACAGTAAAACTAACAAGTCTCCGATACCTTGTAGGAACAAACCCATCATTTGTTTAGAACATTAGATTTTACAACATATTTTCTTTAGATGATATTGAAGTTGCGAAAAGGAAATTGAAGAAGGTAGAAGTTACATCTGATCTACATACTGAGTCGGATGATGAGGTGAAGGCTCCGAGAAAAAGGGCACGCACAAAACCGTCACGTTTGATTGAGGAAGATTGTGGCAGCGCAGAGAGCGATCATCAAGACGATACCTCTACTAACGATGAAAGACCACCTCGTAATAATTGGCAATTTTCCAAGCAGATTAGTAATGGTACGTTACATACCCTATTTACTAAATGCGCAGGAGTTTTACAGTGAATAAAATGTATGCATACTTTTCTAGGCCAAGAAAATGGTTTTATAAGGCAAAATGAATGCCCATCAACCCCACAAATAACCCCGTCATCAAGAACAAATGTTCGTTTTAGTACTCCTACTGTGGAGAATAGTCAAGGTGATCTTAAAGGTATTTGTAAATAATATTGGCTACATTTCTAATAATATGCTATTCATAGAGTGTTCATGTCTACCGCATGTCCTAAAAATTTATGAACAGAACAAAAAAATTTTAAAACTTCTGGAACAACAACATCATCCTTTAGCGGACGTTACATTTGGAGATGAATTTCAGTTTCCATTACATACCGTTGAAGATGTGGAGCAAATGGAAAACCTAATATCTTCCGATATAGGTCTTCAAAGACGATTGGTAGGCATTTACATAATTTATTGTAAAATAATTTGTTTTCAACTCTGTATCTTAGGTAATGCAACTTTCCAAACTGGGTGGGAATGGAGTTGTTTCCATAACCAATAAAATATTAAAAACCTTAATGGAAGATAGTTTGGCAAGTGAATTTAATTTTTTTGGAAAAAACAAAAAGAAGGCGTTTGGGAATTTAAAATTAAAGGAAATTGTTGTCAGTAAGTATGATTGTATTAAATAATAATAAATTGAGAAAATTAATATATTTATACAGGTTTAAAATATTCATATTGTATCTGTTGTAGCATTAAAAAAAACTTCCGTTTTCAAAATCATAAACATTTTTTAAACTGTGCATTAAACAGAACTTGGTGCTTATAATTGCTTTTACGATAATTAACTTTATCAGATGGCTGATGTCTGACCAAATTGTAAACAGTTGTAGCTATATTATATATCTTGGCCAATAAACAAACTAACGCTAGTGTTCTAATTTAGAGTTATAATTGCATAATGGGCTACTTGCAAGGTTTCGTTATTAGCAAAAAATTTGCACAGGTGGCAAGTACTATATACGCCATACATGAGGCGAATACTAATTTTTGAAAAAGATCATTTGTTTTTAAACAAATAGTAAAAACAATTACTGTGAATCCCTTTAAATATGACGTCAGCTGCAAACGCCCTGCCATTGGTGCGACGTCACAACTGTGGTCGCCATATTTGTTTACATTCTTGTGTTCGTAGATCCAGGTTTGTAGAGGTCCGCCAGGTCAAGTTTGTTTTGTGTCTTGTGCGCAAAAAACGATAAAGGGTGCATGTGTGTGTGTGGGTGGGGACATGATAGAGAAAGTTCAAAAAAATTAGTACGAATAGTGTATTTTTAGGTGGACTAAAAATGTTCCACATTTAATCTCTTCAGGCAGCCCTTCACGTACGGACTTCGCTTCGAGCTTGGCCTGTACGAACATTGCCCAACATGAATTCATGCAAAGCTCGAACGTGAATAAGGGACCAGACGAGCAGCACTTTGTTTTGTTGCAACTTGGGTCGTGTTGACGTTTTCGAATCTGTCGGAAAACTTGCCGCGGCGCGAAGCTGTGCGCGCTTAAAAGTTGCAATGTGTAGTTTGATTACGAGCATGAATACAAGGTTCGAAATAAGACAATATATTCATTATATTGGATGGAATGAGACAGTAAAACTTTCAATGCCACTTTCAGAAAAATGTATTGTAGGCATTTTAACGAATTTAATTTCAACAATTAAGTATATATTTAATGTCAGCATATGCATCCGGAAGTAAATTTGGTAATCTTCAGAGTGATTTACATTGATTTCTATTAATAGATAAATATGATTGGCAGCACCTCGTTTTTTATACCTACCACTCCTTTACTCTACTCGATACCTTTTTTCTTCTTATTTTACTTTTTTCATTATGATCTAAAAGAACTACCTATTGCTGCTGCTTGTTTTTTACTTATTACCCTCGTATTACCATCATTAATCTGCGATTTTTAACGTAACTACACTTGGCGTACTTCGAACAAGGACTGCACGTGAAGGGTAAAAATTGTACTCGTGCAATGCTCGCGAGTATTGCTGTCATGCAAAGCTCGAAGCGAAGTGCGTAGGGGAAGGGCCGTCTCAAGACGTGCCGTCAGAAAGACATCGATATATTTCACGGTACACAGGAGAAAACGTAAGCAACAACAAACGCATACGCTACATCATCGCATTGAAGTATACATGCAAGTATACCGCCACTGAACTTTTACACAGTTGTGACGTCACAACCATGTGCCGGCAAAATCTAGCGTTTAAAATGATTTCCAAGCGCGCGAAAAACTTATCTTTAGATCAGTGTTTTTCAACCTTTTTGTAAACGAGACCCCTTTACAGGTTGAAAATTTCTAGCGACCCCCTTGAGCCATGGACCGACAAAATGTTAGTAATTTAAAAAAAAGACTTCGTATGATTTTCTCTAATTTGGTACCCGTATTTGTTATTAAGACCTACACTCTGTAAGAAGCCGCGAGAACGATGAAAGGCAGTACCAGGTAAATTTGTCGCCGCGGTCGAGCGGCGCCGAACGCGCTAGCGCAGAATTTTTCTTTGTCTCAACTCCTAATTGCGTGCGCGTTTCCGTTGAGTACGGACGTGATTGTTTTGTTTTTTCGCTTGCAAAATGGATAAGTTTCTCAAAAGGTCCCAGTCAACATCTGATATGAGTGCCAGTGGCGGAGGTGCATCAAAACCGAAAAAAAAGAGACATTATGACGACAATTACTTGAAATACGGGTTTACAGCCATAAATAATAAACCTCAATGTGTAATTTGCGGCGATGTTTTATCAAGTGAGAGTATGAAACCATCAAAACTTAAGAGGCATCTCACAACCAAGCATCAAAAAGAAGCTAATAAGCCGTTGGATTTCTTTGAACGAAAGTTGAAAGTTCTTAGTCAGCAGCAAAATACTATGATTCAGGTAATAAAATAATGTACTAGTTTCCATGTAGTGTTGAAAAACGCTCAAGTTCAACCCAAGTCTACCTACTTATTTTTATATTCTTTTGTTTGATTTTAGGTATCCACTGTCAACAAATCAACATTATTAGCTAGCTACAAAGTTGCATATCGAGTCGCTAAAGCAGGAAAGCCGCACACAATTGCAGAAAATCTTATTTTGCCAGCAGCTCTAGATATGGTTGAAATTATGGTCGGCCAACCGGAGGCAAATAAGTTAAAAAGCATACCACTTTCTGATAATACTATTTCACGCAGAATAAACGATATGGCCAATGATATTCGAGAGCAAGTAGTCGAAAAATTAAACAAGAGCCCACATTTTGCTTTGCAGTTTGACGAATCGACAGATGTTTCCGACTGTGCTCAGTTTGTAGTATTTGTGCGCTTTGAAGCCGATGACAGTATCATGGAAGAAATTTTATTTTGTGCAGCCCTTGCTGCAAACACTACTGGCCAGTGTTTGTACGATATGTTTTTAGAAAGTACTTGCAACTACGACATTGATTGGAAAAAATGTATCGCTGTTTGTAGCGATGGCGCTAAAGCTATGACTGGAAAAAATAGCGGCCTCGTTGCGAAATTAAAATCAATAATGCCAAACGTATCATGGACACACTGTTTTCTTCATCGACAAGCTCTAGCAGCTAAGGTTTTACCTTCTGATTTAAATGACGTGCTTAAGGAGGTAATAAAAATTGTGAATTCTATCAAAGGTAAAGCCTTGCAAACCCGGCTGTTCAGAATCGTTTGTGAAGATATGGATTCGCTTCATCGCAATCTCCTTTATCACACAGAGGTTAGATGGCTATCCAAAGGAAAAGTATTGACAAGAGTTCTAGAACTGAAAGCTGAATTGTTAATGTTCTTACAAGATGCTAAATCCGAATATGCTGATCATTTTTCTGATCCTGTTTGGCTCTTGAAGTTAGCATTTCTGGCAGATCTTTTTAGCCACCTTAATAATTTAAACAAGAATCTCCAAGGCAGAGAAGAAAATATTCTAACCGCTAAAGATAAAGTCAAAGCATTTCATGCAAAACTTCATTTCTGGTCAACCTCTCTGCAAAACAATACATTTGAGTCTTTTCCATGTATTCAGAAGATTGTTGAAGATAATGCAACAGATCAATCTGTGGTAAGGGCTCACATTCCTTGCATGACACAAAGCTTGCATAATTTGCGAGAGAAACTATCAACATACTTTCCAGACTTGCACTCTGAAGCTGACAATGGGCATAGATGGGTTCTAAATCCATTCTTGGATAAGTCAATAGAACTGGCTGATCTCAACACAAATCTTAAAGAAAATCTTATAGATTTAGCCGCTGACGGTATGCTTAAAATGGAATTTCTTTCGCAAAGTGTCGACGTGTTTTGGATGAAAAGAAAACAAGAATATCCTGAGTTGGCAAGGGAAGCTCTAAAATTATTAATACCATTTGCCACTTCATACCTATGCGAACTGACATTCTCTTCAATGGTGGACATTAAAACTAAAAAGAGAAATAGACTTCAATTAGAAAATGATTTGATTATTAATGTTTCTAAAATAGCACCACGATTTGAAAAACTTTTGGAAAATAAACAATCCCAACCTTCTCACTGAAATTGTGTTTCTATTGTAGTGTAGAACCTTGCTTTTTTCCTTTTGTCGGCGACCCCCCTAATAAAGTTTCGCGACCCCCCTAGGGGTCGCGACCCACAGGTTGAAAAACACTGCTTTAGATAATTTAAAAGTTTGTGTGTTTAGGATTGTGAAATTTTGCATACTGGTATTTCTTTATGTTCCGCATTGATTTATCACATAAATAAAAAATGTGAAAGTGGCCCATTGTTTAGACCAGTCAAAAACATTCAACTATAGCCAAGAATAGAAAACTGCATTAAAAATTGGCTAAAGCCGACGCAGAGAGAGCTAGGGAACAAATCCGAATAGGTGATAGGTATAGCATTAAAATATATATTTATATTATTAAATAGTGGGTAAGTAGTAGTTTCATAGAAATATTTTGTTTATATTATTCAGCTTGAAAGCTTCATTTGTTTTTATAGTATAATTAACTATGCCAAAAAAATATAAATTAAAACCATTTGTTGGTAAAAGACAGATAAATAGAAGAGTAAAAGCAGCATTAGACCAACTGCAAGCATCTCGTCTTTTAAATGTACAGTCTAATAATGCCGATAATATTGTTGAATCAGCTTCCTGCAGTAGTGCAGAAAGCATGTTTGTATTAGACAATAGTAGACTTTCCCAATATGGTGATTCAAACTCGCCAAACAGTTCAGAAAATTGCCTGAGCGATAATGTGCCTTATGTTTCATACTCCGTCAATCAACCAACTGCTGCTCCACTTAAAAGTTTAACAGAAAAATTACAAATTTGGGCTGCAAGTGAAAATGTTCCACATTCTTCTGTTACATCACTTTTGCATATATTACATGTATATCATCCCGAATTGCCACTTGATTGTAGAAGTTTGCTAAAAACTCCACGTTCTGTAAAAACTAAGGATTTAGATAATGGAAAGTATATTCACTTCAATATGAAAGAATGCATTAGTAATCACTTAAGTAAACATCAAGTTAATTCTAGTAAAATCTCTTTATCTTTTAACATTGATGGGCTTCCCATTTTTCACAGTACAAGTCAACAGTTTTGGCCTATTCTCTGTATGATAAAAAATAGTTGCAATCAAAAACCTTTTGTGGTGGGATTATTTTGTGGCGTTTCAAAACCCTCTCCCTTAGAAACTTTTTTAGAAAGCTTCATTCATGATCTCAAAGATTTACTGCTTAATGGCTTAATGCACCACACCCAATTTTATGATATCGAGGTGCATAGCTTTATTTGCGATGCTCCCGCTCGTGCCTATATAAAACGTGTTAAAGGGCACGGTGGATATTCATCATGCGATAGATGTACAGAGTATGGGACACTAGTAAATAAAAGGGTTGTGTTAAGGCATACAAATGCTAGTAAAAGAACTGACACTTCATTTTTCAATCAAGAGGATGAGGAGCATCATCTTGGTGTTTCACCATTAACTTCATTGGGTATTGGCATGGTGTCCCAATTCCCTCTAGACTATATGCATGCAGCATGTCTTGGAGTAATGAGAAAACTATTAAATTCATGGGTTAGTGGATCTCTTCGGGTTCGATTGCAGTCTAGATTAGTTAACAATTTATCACAAAAGTTATTGTCTTTACAAGAATTTGTGCCCATAGAAATTAATCGCAAGCCAAGAAGTATAAAGGAATTAGCACATTGGAAAGCTACAGAATACAGAACATTTTTATTATATCTAGGCCCAGTTGTATTAAAAGATATAGTAAAAGTCTCTGTGTATGAACACTTTCTTCTATTTCACTGCAGTTTGGTCATCCTTTGCTCGCCTATTTTGTGTCAGCAACTGGGAACAAATTTGGCAAAACAATTTCTTGAAACATTTACATCCCACAGTGAGAAACTATATGGCTTGGAATTCTTGAGTTACAATGTTCACATTGTTTCTCATTTAAGT